CTCGGAGGAGCCGTCGAATCGTAAACTGTAATTAATTAGTAACACTGCCTAAATTTGTGTTGGATGATCTTCACAAAACTGCCTAACATCATCACTGTGTTCCCATACTCGGTGATTTGTGGCCCACTAATTGCCGAGGTTCGCCGTCACTAGTGCATATTTGATGGAAGCTCCCCCGCGTTTCTGTCTTGATATCATACCTCCTCAACCCGCCACTTCGTCAATTCGTTTCTTTGTTTGAGAGTTCATTTTCCACTTGCATAAAATGATGAATCGCTCGCTTCTACGTGCGGCTGCGCGCTCGCTACAGGCTGGACCCGTCGCTAGCCGGCGCTATGCATCATCCGCCGTGTTCAACTGGGAGGATCCCCTTGCCGCAGCGGAGCTGTTCACACCAGAGGAGCTGGCAATTCAGGAAACAGCAAGACAGTACTGTCAGGATAAATTACAGCCACGAATTCTCGGTTGGTCTATTCCAAAATCCTAACTCACCTCGTATAGCATGATCTAACATTTATCTTCCCGCAGAGGCCTACCGCAACGAGGACTATGATCGTCGGATCCTCGAGGAGATGGGTGAGCTCGGCCTGCTTGGCGCCTCAATCGAGGGCTACGGCTGTGCCGGTGTCAGCACGGTCGCCTCCGGTCTGATCACCAAGGAAGTGGAGCGAGTTGACAGTGGATATCGGTCGGGCATGTCAGTGCAGAGCTCTCTGGCCATGACAGGTATCGCTGAGTTTGGTACAGAGGAAATGAAAGAGCGACTGCTGCCCGGGCTGGCCTCGGGCAAGGTTTCTGGCTGCTTTGGGCTGACAGAGCCCAATCACGGCTCCGACCCCGGGTCCATGGAGACCGTTGCGCGCGAGCATCCTACTCAGAAGGGCGTGTACCTCTTGACTGGAAGCAAGACCTGGATCACCAACTCGCCAATTGCGGACCTGGCGCTTGTGTGGGCTAAGCTCGAGTCCACGGGCAAGATCCGTGGATTTGTTGTTGAACGATCCAAGTGCCCGCCCGGTACTTATGAGACTCCCGCTCTCAAGAATAAGACTGCGCTGCGCGCATCCATCACGGGTATGATTCACATGGATGACTGCCCCGTTGGGGTGGAGAACATGTTGCCTGAGGTTGAGGGTCTTAAGGGCCCGTTTACATGCTTGAACAGTGCGCGCCTGGGCATCGCTTTTGGCAGCATGGGTGCCCTGGAGGACTGTCTTACCCGTGCCCGTGAATACAGTCTCGAGCGCAAGCAGTTCAAGGGTAACCCTCTGGCCAAATACCAGCTTGTTCAGAAGAAGCTGGCTGATGCGGCGACGGACGCTGCTTACGGCACGCTGGCGGCTGTGCAGGTGGCTCGCCTCAAGGACGCCGGCAAGTGCACTCCAGAGATGATCTCGATGGTCAAGCGTCAGAACTGTGATCGTGCGCTGCAAAACTCCCGAATGTATGCTTCTTCTTCCTTTCTGCTCCCGCGCCTGAGTCTATACTAACCCGCTACAGTTTGCAAGAAGTGTTTGGTGGCAATGCTACCAGTGATGAGTACCATATTGGGCGTCACGTAGCCAACCTGTTTGTGGTGCAAACATACGAGGGTCAGAGTGATATTCATGGTAAGTGCCCAATCCTTTTGACATGCTTTGGGCCGAGACTAATTGCTTTTTGTCAACAGCTTTGATTCTGGGTCGGGCTATCACGGGCAAGCAGGCCTTTGTTTAAAAGATTGTATAGATAAGAATGTATATTTTCCAAGTGATTGAAAGAGGATTCGAGTACGAAACAATACATGAACCTAAGGCCGAGTGATTGTTGTAGTCATATAAACATCTCCAGGGCACCTTCCTTATCGGGACAACAGTGGGCGCCTCACCCGCACGTGACATCATCGAGGGGCAGTTTTCATTACCAAGGTATTGTATTCCCGGATACTGAGGATCGAAGGAACCATCGAGATGACCGATGAGATCTTATACAACGATTATGAAGGATCCTATCGAAAGTGAAGGCAATATTAACAATCGCCCCCTTGCCACGTGAATACGATACAATGACAGAACGTCTCAAACTTGTCCTACGAGGGTCCTCGCAACCCGATCAAAATTACCCGACATATTCTCGATGTGTCATATCGTGGCGTGTATTGGTAATACCGAGCCAAGCCCACCCGCACCACTTTTCCCCTCTTTTATTCTTTCTCATTCTTATTCTTCTCTTCCACACAAAGACGTAACCGTACGTGGAACAGGTCCGCCCCCCTCATTTTCTTCCCGCTGACCTTGATAGCTCTCTCCCCATCACTCTTCAATCGTCAAAATGGCTCTCAAGCGCATTAACAAGGAACTCACTGATCTCGGACGGTAAGTCCTGTGAGCGAGATCTGTCGAGATTGACGACTAACGTTATCACAGGGATCCCCCCTCCTCTTGCTCCGCCGGTCCCCACGGAGATGATCTGGTATGGTCCTTTTTTTTCCCCTCGCTCGTTCGCGTTTCACGCTTCGTCACCGCCGTCCCGAATCACCCCTAAAGTCTTATCGTGTGGCGGGGCTGCAAGTGACTTGTCGATCATTTCGAAGACGTTGGAATATAATGGATAACTGACAGCTGCCTTTTCTCGCACTATAGTTCCACTGGCAAGCAACTATCATGGGTCCTGTAAGTTGGAAACTTCTTGAACGATTTGGCGTGTAAACCACCATGGTCGGAGGGGAAACGGCTGAGGCTGAATGCCCCTCCTTACCGCCGGGGGAACATACTCGATCTCCAAACGCAGATGCTAATACGTTCCTCACTAGGGTGACTCGCCTTACTCTGGAGGTGTCTTCTTCCTCAACATCCAGTTCCCTACCGACTACCCGTTCAAGCCTCCCAAGGTCAACTTCACCACCCGCATCTACCACCCCAACATCAACTCGAACGGCAGCATTTGTCTCGACATCCTGCGTGACCAATGGAGCCCTGCTCTGACAATCTCGAAAGGTTTGACACGCCATATACCGCGTTAGGGGAATACACTGTGCTAATTCATACTCAGTGCTGCTTTCGATCTGCTCGATGCTTACAGACCCCAACCCTGACGACCCGCTTGTGCCTGAGATCGCCCATGTCTACAAGACGGACCGCCCGCGGTACGAGGCGACAGCCCGCGAATGGACTCGCAAGTACGCTATTTGATCGGCATTTTCTCAACCAATCTGCCCAATACCAATGACCCCCTTTTCCATCCCGCACGACCCCTCAGTCTAATCCCCATCGCCTCTGCATCATCCTCTCTTGTCTCCGTTAGATTCAGATCCGCGAAGCCTGGCGTACCGTGGTCGTAGAAACTTGCTGTGTTTCGTTTCTTGCAGACTTCTGTTTTTTAGGTCTATTTTTCATCTTTCTTTTCTTGCTAAACCATGTTTGGTGTCGTTTGTGTGTGTGTTAGTTTCTGGGACATCATGCCCAACGATCCTTATGACCAATTCTCATGCATTCATGGCATTTTGTTCTCCAAGGGGGATCTTCCTTTTTCCAGGACTGTTTCTTTCTCTTGCGAGATGACCAAAAATTTCCCCCAAAAAGGGAAGCTGAAAATCTTGTCTTGGCTGTATACCGAGATCAGGGGGCCTCTCGAAGGCTGTCCCTTGTGGAAAATTGTTGATTGAGACGTGCACACGCTTGGAGTGGACTCGAATCGAATCGGAACAGGAAGTCGATATGGAGGTGATGGGATCGGGCCGTGGTTGCGTGTACGGGAAAGGGGACTTTACGAGGTTTATTTCTTTTCTTGTCATCAGATAGCACAATCCAGGCAGGCCCGTCGTCTTGAAAATTGTTTTTGCCGTAGGGTAGTGTAGAGAAGCCTTCAACCATCAACAATGGGACCCGTAATCCCGCCATATCATTCATTAACGCCTGTCATGCTGGTTCAAGGATCAGTAGGGAGATCTGAGCACGCAAAAGGTCTCTGCGGAGCTATAATCATCTTCAATATCCAAAGGCCGCTGTTTCTTGTTCGCGATGGAATGGACAGGAGTGGTAAGTCGTCCGTCAACATCAATCACATTATCTGGAATACCTAGACGGCCCAGGATAAAGAATGCAACGCAGTCTAGATCATATGCCAGGCGAAAGCATCGTTAGAGATCTTTTATGTCATTCTCTCTGCACGAGTTCGATGGTCTTCGGTGCTGCGGTAGCCAAGTTCCACGGTGTCTAATAGCCGTGCCCGAGATCTTCCTGAACTGATCCATCCAGCTGTGAAACTTAAACAGGCAGATAGAAAAGTTTCACCAGAGGCTTGCTCCATTGTATGGTCGATGCTGGACACTGGCAATACAAGAGATAGGTACCGCCGACGAGGACCGGTCTATTTGCTTGCAGTGGTTGTTTGGAATTTGAGCATCACGTTATGTGCATACTCGACTCAGTCCACGATTCAGATAGGCCAAAAGATGACGGAAGAATATGGGTCTTCATCTTGCGCGGCTTGCAGTGAAAACAGGCTGGTGGAGGTCTGATGGGCTTTCTGGTGCACTCATGCTGCTTCTTGTTCATGACGTGGTGCGGGGGCGGGGGGAACGCCGGCGCTCTTATCAATTTATCTTGACGAGGATATGATCTTCACGGTTAAACCATTAGATAAGATTGAAGATCTTGTTCCATTGGAGGGTGCTTCTCAGGCTGTTATGACCAAACATGGTACCTCTTTTAGCAGTTCAACCCTGTCTCTGTATCACTAAGCAAGTCTCATCTCTAAGATCTACTTAGCATAGAACCAAGAGTAAAACGATAGATGATCTTCCGATACAGATAAGAACACTGGAAATGTCAATCCGTCGCATGCTCCGCGCTTAGAGTAACAGGTATACCCCTCATACCAAACTCGGGAGAACAGTTCTCCAAAATGGCAACTCATTCCGCTTCAATACAGAGGCTCCCAGTGCCCAGCGCTCAGTGCTCTTCTCACGTTTCCCCCCAATCTGCGCTCGCTCTAAAAAATCAGTTTACCGAATTATATACATGACCATGAAACCAAGAGTCGTGGCCCTAGGCCACCCCCAGTATACAGGGGCCGACTACATCGCCGAATTCCAAAAAGAATTCAACTTCTCCGTATTGAGTGCTACCAACCGCGCCGAGACGCAACAGATGTTACCGGAAGACATCGCCGCCAACGGGCCTATAGACGCCTTCTTGATTCGCATGGGTACCCCGCCCTACGAACCTTTCGACCAGGACCTCCTCCGAGCGCTTGTCCCCGACTGCAAAATCATTGTATCAGCGAGCGCGGGATACAACGAATTCGATGTGCAATGGATGGCCGACGAGGGAATCTGGTTCTGCAACACCGTGAATGCAGTGGCTGAGGCTACGGCGGACATGGCCTTGTTTTTGATTTTGGCTGTGTTGAGAAATACCACCAATGCAGAGAAAAGTGCTCGAAATGGGACCTGGAGAACGCCGCATGGGGGTGATCTTGTTCCTGCGCGAGATCCGGCGGGGTTAATCTTGGGGATTGTGGGATTGGGGGCGATTGGGAAGGTGAGAGGACTTTCACTTTAAAGGGAAGCAACCAGGCATTAACACATTCCCTTAAAGCATATCGCCAGAAAGGCCGCTTGCTTCAACATGAAGATCGTTTATCATAATAGAAACCAGTTGTCTGCGGATGAGGAGGCTCAATATGGGGCTACATACTGCAATACCTTGCATGATTTGCTGGCTGCGAGTGACGTTGTCTCACTGAGCTGTCCGCTCAATGCAAACACCACGAATCTGATCAGCGACGCCGAGTTTACGGCCATGAAGGATGGCGTCTTCTTGGTCAACACTGCCCGAGGTGCGGTTATTGACGAGAAGGCATTGATCGCTGCCCTGGAGAGCGGCAAGGTGGCACGCGCCGGGCTGGATGTCTTTGTCAATGAACCATCGCCGAATCCATGGTTTCTACAGAGCGACCAGGTGGTTCTTCAACCGCATCTCGGTGGCTTGACGGATTTTGCCTTTCAAAAGGCGGAACGGGAGTGCTTTGAGAATATTCGGGCCTTTTTCACTACAGGACAGGCACACTCACCTGTGATGGAGATAAGTCGAGCTTGAGAGAAGTGACATAATGTTGATAATCTGCAAGCCTATTATCTTGGCCTATCAAATCCAATGAGACAGATACTGTAGAGACAACGTTGCAAACATGATCTAATGGTTCAAATCACTTCGAGACAACTTTACTTTGATAATGGAAGTGCAATTCACTAAATTCTGGTGTCAGATGCATGTTTACATGAGATCAAAGCTCGCTCCTTTCACCCAAAGCCCGAGCCTGATCTATGACTGCCATCCGAGCCCGGATACCGCGTCCGTACTATCTAGATCTCTGTAGTATTCACCAACTCTACTGTCTCTTCGCGTTGGTGAAGCGTAGAGCCAGGGCCGGACCCTTAAGACACCGAGTAAGCATATCAACCATCCAATCCAAATTCTTCCTGATCAGCATCTCTTCAATCTCCATCCAGGAGGTGGATGAGAACCATGACTCGGGCACATAATCAGCAATTGTGCGACACTTGGCCGCAACAATACACTCTGCCCCGTTGATGAGTTCTTTGAACGCGCGAGATTGAGATCTGGCACCGATCCCGGGCACCTGAGTACATTCCGTCTTCCAGTTAGTGAATGTGTCTGTCAGGATATGAGTGAGCTCGGTTGCATATTGGGTCGGAAGCAGAAAAGCTCCGCGCTTCATTGGCTTGTCGATAAGAAGGCATCCGATAGCAACGGCGAATGCCAATCGGCTGGAACTGGTGGGGTCCCTGGTGAGAAGGCGGAGGAGGTTGAATTTGCGATTGCCGTATTTTCGAGAGATGTAGCTTCGTACACGATACTTGGTGGTTTGAGATGCGAAGTTGAGACCTCCGATCTGGTGAAGAGGTGTGACGATGTCTCCGTCTGGTCCACAGATCTCGTTTCGGCTGAATGTGAAGAGAAGGTCCATTATTTGACACCAGATTTTGGCTGGAAGTGACTCCAGAGGGGAGTTGGCCTGTTGGGTTGAATTGGTTAGAACGTGGCTATCGAGGCACGTAGGCGTACATACCCGGGTTGGATAATTGGCCTTCTTGGATGGATTGATCTTCAATCGTGGTGCTTTCGCTTGGACGGACTGGCTAGCGAATTGTTTGGCCCGAGGCTTCACTTTAGGTGGTCGTCGTCTTGCCATAATGGGAATGGGGTGGCCTGCAGTGGTGTTTGTGTTTGTGTTGCGAAGCATGAAAATGACGCGTTGGGTATATGAACAAGTCAGGGCACAGGAATGGTTTCATTATCAAATACGTTGCGAGCAAAAATAGACCGGGCGAGTGAATGGGAATTGTGCAAACCTCATGTTCCAGCCCAATCCTTATATAAACGGTGTCGGCCATTTACCTTGGAGAGGCGTCCAAAGTGACACAACCACAACTACTTGCTCACCCAACGCCCGTGATGAACCACCACCCGTTTCCCATCAACATAATCTCCCTTGGGAGCAAGTCTTCTTTGTAATCTCTGAGACTGCATAAGCGTCTCCTTGTATGTGATAGCCGCGATCATCTTCTGCATCTTTTGACGAATCATCTCCCGGTGGATTTCCCGCCACGTCAAGGTGTCAAACCATGCAGGATCCAAGTAAAAAGCCACCATCTGACATTTGACCACCAGGACCAGCTCCACCCAGGCCGGGGAGTACTCCACGACTTTGCGAGACATGGGCTCCAGCGAGTAATCCCATGGACCAGTTGGCGGCGTGGAACAAGGATTCTGCGTCTCAGCTTTCCGTGCCCGAGAGAACAGGAGCGCTTTCATCATGGTCTCGATCAGCTCGGTGGCAATGTGGTTAGGGAGTGTGGGATGATCTGCTGGAGACGAGGGCTTCAACAGAGTCCCAATCGCAATGGAGAAGGGGAGAACACTATCCCCAAAGGCACGGTCGGCTAGATAATGGGCGAAGGACTTCACGCCAGGGATCAGTGGCTTGAAGGGTTTCCGGGCAAAGTAGCTCCATACGGCATGTTGGAGGGTTTTCGATGCTGAAGTGAGACCGGCGATTCCGTGGAGGTTGATGAGTTCTCCACCGAGACCGTTGAGTTCTATTGAGGCCGATAGAATGACATGATCTAAAATCATATCCCAGAGCTCCCTAGGGAGAGACTCCAATGGGGACATGGCTACAATTGCATTTTTTTTTAGTGGGATTTACGGAAGCGAACTGAACAAAGTACGTACTGGGAATTATAAGCGGAGGCCAAAGTTGACAATCATAAGATCGAAGACAGAGAACATGATTGGAAAATTAAAACGAAAAGAGAAAGTCCAGAGGCTGAAAGAGAGCGTTTAGGTCCGAGTCCAGACTAAATCATCCCAATCCCTGTCGATAGTGATTGTGACAAGCTGAGAGGCGCAAGCGGGGCATGTCCAATCATCGACCTCCGCCCTCTCCCTTTTCTCTCTTTTTTTTTTTTTTTTTTTTCGTCGGACATGAGAACTGTCCTCTTTGATATTCCCTCGATAGATGCCATGACTCTCGTACCAGTGACATGTTGGCACATGAGCAATCTGGTGATAGTCGCCGTCGCGCTTTAGCGGGACATGCAGCTCTGTCCCCAATTGTCACGTTAGCGCTACCCTACTGCACCAGCCCGGCATCTAGATCCCGTATGATACATGGAACAAAGAAACAGACCATAGAATTTGCCAGACCTCCCATATTCCATTGAGGTCATTGCGAGTATGCGTCGTCAATATCCTGCAAAACACTGCTTCGTCCTTCCTCGGCCTGTTCCGTCTGCAATAATCACCCGATGGGCAATGGCACTTTGTCACTATTCAGCGACAGAATGGTACCAGGCTGCTTTAGGAGAACGCTAAAGTACCGACATGGATGCCTTGACTTGATAACCGTAAACAGCAGACGTTGTGATTGACGGCAAAAGTACAAAGCGACCCTAGTTTTTTTGGGTTGCCTTCGGAACTGAAACATTAGTCCAAGTGCCATTTGAGACACGGGCTGCTCGACTGGCGGGAGTGGACATCTCCCTGGGAGCTAATAGGCCTATATGCCCAGAGATCTATACATATAAGATGTAGGTAGAGAAAGAAGAGGGGAAGAAAGAAGTGAAGGTGTGAAAGAGAAAAGAGACGAATCAAAGAGAATCAGGGTGTGGTAGGAAGTAGTAGAAGAGAAGGAGTATCTGGAAACCCTCCTTCAGTACCTGTACTGCATTGGTCACGTGTACCTGTTATTCGAGGAAGGATCTATCATCTACGTTGAGTTGGCCTGGCTTCCATTGACTTGGCGTGATCATTTGGCGCCATCATACCCTCTATTCGCTTTTATGTTCCATGTATTCTTTCCTGCAACTTGGCCACCGAACTACAACCTTAGTACTCTACTTTCTATACATTCATGCATTAAAGATAGAAGATGTGAAACCAATCACAAGAAAAATGTTTGTAGAATTGAGACTTTGATCTCGCCGTGTATATGCAATCTGTATTGTATCTATCTGTCCGTTTATAAATTCGTTTCCATGATGATTAAAGGAACACGCCACCTGGGCACCTGATTTGTCGTATATGCTTATATGTTGAACCGAAACCTGCAAATGCAAACAAAACGAGAATGAAGAAAACAACAAGAAAAGGAGACAAAAATAGGTAGAAGAAGTAGAAGAAAAGTAAAGAGAAGAGAAGAGAAGAGAAGAGAAAAGAGAAGCAGTCAAAACAATCCATAAATGCAAAAGTTCATCACACCACCTGGCTCCGCCAGCTACTCACCTTCGAGCCCGCGCGACTGCCCTCGGCCTTGATGGTGCGCTGGGAAGCACGCGACACCTGGCTCACACTATCAGCTGGCTTCACCACTTCCTCGAATTTAGACTTGGAAGAGTGTCTCGATGCCTTGGAGTGCTTAGAGTGGTGGGAGTGCGAAGAGCGGGCAGAGCGACTACCAATCTGGCTGATGGAATCATCGGGCGTGACGTGCGAGTTCACATCAAGATCGGCCACGCTGTCAGGGAGCGGAACATCGCGAGCCGAGACGTGTGACTTCCCCTGATGGCTAGAAGCGGGGGAGTAGTAGGTCGCCTGGGAACCCGCGGGCAGCGGAATGTTGCGTGCCGAGCGAGTGGAAGAGGCGACACTGCCTGCTCCGTCCTTATCCTTGGCGGACTTGGTGGTGGAGTAGTGGTGGCTGTTGTTACTGTGGGTGGAGGCTGCTCGGTAGACTTTCGAGCCATTACTATGGGTGGAGTATGTATCTCTGTCATCGTGACTGTGTCGTCGTTGGCTGTTGGCTTGGGATGCTTTCACAGTGGAGACGGAGTGCACGCTGCCTGCGCGTGGCTTGTCCGCTGCGTAGCTGCTGATAAAGGTGCTGGGGCTGTATTCGTCGCGCCAGCCGTTCATGGAGGCCGGGTACTCGATGGCCCGAAGAGGTGCGTCTTCTGGAATGCTGAAGACGCTGCCGTCCGAGGCGCGGCGGCCATGGTCATCGAAGAATTCGGTGCCTTCGTAGATAGTACTGGCACGTGGGTTCTTGGAGGTATGGCTGCGACTGAGCGTGGACCGAGGGGCTGATGCCGATGTGTAGACACTGCGCGTGGGAGGCGCTTCAAGGGCCCGGTACCTCTGTTCTTCCGAGTGAGATACCTGGGATGGGGGTCCCATCAGCTGGTGGTGCTCCGGCGTATAATGCGGCGAAGATTTGCTGGTATTCTCATCGGAAGAGGACTGTGAGTCACCCATGACCATCGCGTAAGCGATTGCCGCGCCCGCTGCGGCACCAATGAGAGTTCCAACGATCGTCTTCGCCGCTTTGCTGCCGTCATCGACTGGCTTCTGGACAGTCTGCACTGTATGCACCGTGTAGGATTGAGATGCAGGTTGTGCACGAGACACAGTGGTCGGCGCAGAACGCTCACGGTCATAAGTTGACTCGCGTTCATAAGCAGAGGGCGCAACGGAAGTTGGCGCCACGCTTGTAGGCGCTCTCGAGACTGCACGAGACTTGGCCTCCGATCTGGGAGGAGCAATGCTCTCGGACCTCACCGAAGTAGCTCTGCTACTCTTGGAGACCTTGGAAACCACCGACCCATTCTCCAGCAAGGCAATTGTCGGTCCTCCCGCCTCCGATGCCACCACCGAGGCACCTGATCGGTAGACAGCCTCGATGCTGTTGCCATCCAAGTCGATCACCGCGGCACTGAAGTAGGCCGACTGGGAATCCCGGCATTTGGGCTCAAAATGAATTGTACCACCGGCCTTCAAGGCGGAAATGAAGAATGAGCCCACGGCATCTCTGGACGGAGCTGGGAATGCAACATGGACAGCGCTATTAGCACCTCTGCCGAAGTATACATTAGTACTTTTATCTTTCCTGATATCAATAGTTTACATACCCTGGCTTCCGTTCGGTGACCCAGAAATCCGCAGGTTCCCCCTGCTTCTGACCGAAACCTATATAGTCGTCATGTCGACCAATAAATTGATATCCGAGTGGTTGTAGACATGATAAGAAAAATGAGGTAGAAGTTGGAAGGTGTGAGACGGTCAAGGTCAGGTGCGAGACGGGCATATCGAAGAAAATGCAAGGAGGTCAGCGAGCCAATTCGTCCCGACACGCAAACCCAGAGAAAATGGTTGAAAAAGGAGGTTGGAATTCAAGACACAAGGTCATGTAGAGGAAAGGAAAGGAACAAGGGTCGTGAGAAAGGAATATTATATACGGTGAGGGAACCGGATCCTATAGCAAGAAGCACTATGACACAGAAGACCCGACATCCTGCCAGGGACCGAATAAGGACAGGGAAAGACAAGGGTCCGCCAATCCTACGCTACAGAACAAAAGAACGGGAAGAAAAAGCTGCCCAAGCTGGTCATCCGGTAGTCCACCGCAGTCGTCCGAGAAAGGCAAGCCCCAGCCTGACTCTCCCCCACTGGTGATGCGTGGTCCGATACGATAGTCCGGTGGGACCCTGGAAAAAAACACCTGGTCACCCATTGTCTTCCGTGAGTTCAAGCGATCTGCACGTCGGGAAAAGGTGAAACGCCCCAGGACTGGGTTTGGACGTGGCACGCGGCCATGGAGGGTCCTGGGTTGGAAACGGGAATTGGCTTTGCCTACAGGAACTCGGTCGAATCACGCTCCTGGCACGATTCGGTGAGGATATGTATGGAGATGAGAGTGGGTTCAAAGTAGGGAGCTTAACCACTCCCGAGACCGCTCGGATCCCAAGAGGGCCAGGTCATCGCGGGGACCCAGTGTGGATCACTGCAGTGGCGGGGCGGGTATTTGAATGAGTAGTTCAGTGCTGTTGAACAAATGGTGAGGCGGCGGCAGTGGAGCAAAGGGCGGATTTGGCCCTTTGGAATCTTCTTTCCAACTTTGGGGGCTCGGGCTTCCTCCTGACCGCCACTATTCATAGAAGCGCGGAAAAATTACAATCATTCCCATTCGTAATTGACTCACCTGATAATCAAATTAATTTCAATACAACGGACTATAGTGATTTACGCATGTAGGAGGAGCAAAAACGCAGTCGTGCGGGTCTGGGCAGGCGTGCAGTTTTAGTGGAAATTGGCTGATTCCAGGGCTCTGATTAGCTTACAGCGAATTAGTCTCGCAGAAAGTGAGGCGTCTGCCACGTCGAGAAACCCAACCAAAGAGACCTGATGAACGCAAATACGCTCTACGACTGAACCATAATCCTCCAAAGTCTACGAAGCATGAAAACCGACATTTCAACCGAAATTAGATTCGATACCGTATGTGCCTGATCTCAGGAGCACAAGGCTCCTGATCTATGTATGCTAGTTCACTTTTCTGGTCTCATCGCCACAGTCAAACGGAGGGGGACCTGTGGATGGAAGAGCTCTGGATCAGGACTGAATGGCGAAAAGGAACCAAATGCCATCCAGTCCGAGTGTCTCTTGGGTCGAAAGGACGGAGAAATCCCGTCTGGTCAAAATTCCCAGCATCCCAACGCAGAATCATCCATGGACCTGGAGGCCCCCAAGGAAAAAACATTGATGCTGGTCGAATGCCCCCCCGTGTCACAGGGTTCTTCAAAAAACACAACGAGAGTAGGCGCTTCAGCTCCCAAGTGGAAAAACCCAGGCGATCCGACACCATCCCGTCACCTCGAACCGGTCCAAAACCCCGCAAAAGAAAATCGTGGCTTCATGGCAAGCTTCAAAATCCGCATTGCCGAGCAGAGGGCGAAAAAGCACGCACGCAGGAGGCGCACGTGAATTCCAGCCCGATCCGCTCAGAGGATGTCCCACACCTCCTCGGCCGCGTGGCAGAACTTGCTACAGGCCACACTGGCCGAAAGACTGTAGTTGCTGATACTGATGGTGTCATCCTTGAACGAATCGGCAAAGTCATCGTGACCCTTGGCCATGGCACCGACAAAGATGGCCACGCTCTCCTTGGGGCCAATCGACTCGATGTAGTCCCGGGTCCGCACGACGGGGGCCTCGAAACTGAGAGTCACCTTGCGGCAGTTGGGAGGCAGGTGGTCCGTGATGGGGTTCTTGATCACCTTCAACAGCTTCTCCTGCGAGTTGGTGGAGCGAATAGACAAACGGTGGAGCAGCTGGACCATCAGACCCGCAAAACGCTTGAAGGTTCGGGGAATGCGGACGGAGGGGTTGACTTCGATCAAAACACCCTTAGCAGTGTGGATGAAAATTTGCAAGCGGCCAGCCTTGTTAACGGGAGAGTCCAAGAGGGTAAGCAGACACTGGGGAGGAAAAAAAAAACTCGTTAGCTCAACTCGTATACACGTAGATAACCCAACTTGCTCATACCTGGTGGGTGATATCCGGTCGGGCTTCACTAATATCCCGGTTCATCTTGCGCATGATACCAATGTGCTCATCACTGTTGAGAAGCGAGTACTTCTCATCCTTGGCTCCAGCACGGCCACTTGAGGCACGGTAGGTTTCGAGACTAGCATTGGAGAGAATGACAATCAAACGCTGGGTATCTTTGTCATGGGAGGGAATGGGAGTGTGCTGTTCCGCAACAAGCTGAGGCAGCTCGGGTGGGGGGCAAGATTGGGTTCCTAACGGCTGGTCAGTCATGGCTGGGGATCTCTGCGGGGCCGCCACGAATGAGAATAGGCAAGGGACGAAGAAGTGTCAAAGTGCTGGGTCGCACAACAACGTCACAAAGGGAAGCTGCGTTGGATCGGCAGAATACCTTGCTCAGGATCTGCCGTTGGAAGGTCTAAGGGTCCAATCCAATGATCCCAAAAGGTAAAACCAAAACCGCAAGACAAAAAAAAAAAAAACCAAAAAACAACAGGGATTGAAACTTTTCAGGGATACATACTCGCACGCTTCCGCTTGCCCGCAGTTTGAGAGCTATCAGACATGGTTGGAGATAATTGGGGGGGATAAAGATTGGAGAGAAGATTCGAAGAGATTTTTGACAACTTGCTCTCCGCCAAACGGTTCCGCGGGACAAAAGCGGGACCACCTCAACGTGCCAAAGTATCAATTATATACTCTCTCTCTCTCTCTCATTCAGAGTTTTTCTTGATAGATTGTGATAAGATTCTTGCCAAATTCTGAATAGTTTCAAGAAAAGCCAGGGACTTGCAGGACTCATGCGTGTTAAATACCCCGGAGAGTTTTGTTCCAGCTGCAATGTACCGAATCAATCCCACCGACTTCGGGGTTTCTTCGAGTCCCCTGATTACTCGGACTCCGGCCGCCGAGCTTATCCTGCACGATGTTGCAACGAAGTCGCGAATTCCCGGTGCTCCCGATTCCAGTAGATGCGCGATCCGAAAGGAATAGAACACATGTGCATGTCCTGGACGTACTCTTATACGGGCAAGTGAAGATCCAGACCTTATGTGGTGCGTAAATGTGTAACCTGTACATGCATCTGATTCCCGAATCGAATGCAGCTTACATGACTTGGCAAGTCATCGAATGCTATCGAAACCCACCTTGAGTAGCGCCCGGGCGATCCTTATGGGGCCAAATCTCGGAGTGGTACGAGGTGCAATTCTTAGGCGCGTGAACGTTAAAGCGGACTCGGATCTTCCTCGTGCTTGTCGTGAGAGAGAGGGAGAGAGAGACTTCGACTATTTGGCTTGTGCCAGACGTTTAGGACTAAACTTCGCCACCCACTTTACTGTACATGCTTTCCTCGAACGCTGTGATACCCTGCGCCATGAAATCCGGGGGGAAGGTTAGGCCTCCTCTTCTATTGGATGAAGCCGCAGATTGCACTTCGTAAACAGCAGCGAAGAGACCTGGGAGTTCCACCTCAAACCAATCAAGCTTCCTACTCTATCCAACTCCGCGACGGGCAATGCTCCAATCAACATACGTCACATCGTTCACCGGGTCCAGCCTCTTCGATCTTCCGTGGAAATACACGGGAAGATGCGTCCGTTGATCGTGATCCCGCTTGGTCCAGCGGGGGAAGTTGGGGCTGGCGCCTTGTTCATTCGAATCGTAGGTTGAGGAACAGAGCCTCGTGTAGGCTACAACGTGTGCTTGGGGCGAAACTGCCTCATCTCACGTTGTGGCCTTGGGCCCCATGATGATTGGTTCAATCGCGTTGGAAAATAATAGCTGGTCGCTGATTGACTGTGCCTGGTTGACAGTAGAAAGGGGGAGAAAGAGCCCGTCCCACCAGGCATACCAGGATGCCAGGATACCAGCCATTCAGGAATTCCGGTTAGGTAGCAATAGAGTCATTCATCTTTTCTTTTCTTTTCTTTTCTTTCGGTCTATCTTTTTCCAGGGATTATCTCTTGCTGGGATTATCTCATCCCCGTTGTCATACTCAGTGGCGATTTTTGACTGGAGACCTTACCTTATTAAAACCTAAGCTCTCCACATTCCAGCGACGCCCTATAATTCTTACAACATACTGAAACAAAAAGATCATCTTTCCCCGTTTCCCCGTTTCCCAGCTTGCCCAGCGCCTTTTTCCACAAACTCTGTTGCGTCGGTAAGGGATAAGAACCGTGAGTGATTCATCCTTGACACTAAACAATATGACCTAAACCAGTTAGCGCCACGCGTGCAGTGGAACCGGTCGATCCGTAAATTGCAAGAAAACCCCCGTGTCAGAGAATAAACATCTTCTCCCCCACCATACTCCTATAGATCTCCAGGGAGATGCCGTGGACAGTCACCAATTCATTTAAGCGGTACGTTCCTCCGAATCCCCCATTGCATGCTTCTCTCCCACTAACCTTCCTTCAGAGGCCTGATGAAAACATACGGAAGACCAACATGGCGCGTCTATGACGATGAGCGAGCCGCGAAAAAAAGACGCGTCCAAGATGAGTCCGACGAGGCCGAAACCAATCTTCAATACGCGATTCGCGAGTCCTCTGCGGCCGTGTTATCCAGCCCCTCGCGCCGAAATTCCGTCGTGTTATCTGAAGGCACAGTGGACGATATCGACGACCTCACGACGCCGCCCTCATCGCCACCACCCCGGTTAACTCCCCCGCCCGCGAACACGCGCAAGCCGACCTTTGCATTCCTTAAGCGTAAACATAAGGATGTGACGACCGGATCTCCCCTGACAGAGGTCAACTCTAATAGCCTGCGCGCCTCCGCGGATCCGCCGAAGCAGAAGGCACAGAAGCCGCAGCCCCCGTTGCGTCAAATGCAGATCGACTTGGGTAACGAGGTGCGCAAGACGTGTGCGACGTGTGGTATGGAATATATCCCCTCCAATACCGAGGATGCGGCGCTGCATAAAAAGTTTCACGAGATGAATTCCACCGGGGTCGATCTGGGCAAGGCATTCATGCGCGCGAATGCATCCCGCTGGGTTTATGAAGCGACGCGATTTGAAGAGGGTTACGTGGTGATTGTGGACCGCAAGGCATCGCCCAGCGCGAAGAACCAAGCGAAGAAGGTGCTCGAGGTGGTGAATAAGGAGTTGTCCTCTCCGGAGATTGACGAGGAAGTGCTCTGGAGTCAAACAGAGGCCCCTGAACACCGGAAGGACCAGAATGAAGAAGAAAAAGTCGACCGATACCGGGTTTTCCTGCATATGAAGGACAGCCGCTGCGTGGGACTCTGTCTAACAGAGCGGATCTGGGAATCGCAACCCGTGATTCTTGGGGAGCAGAATGGCAACAGCTCTTCAGTGTCCGTGAAAGATGAGCGACACCCGGCTATTGTTGGCGTCTCTCGCATCTGGACCTCGGGGGCATCTCGGAGAATGGGTATTGCGCTCGACCTGCTGGATTGCGTCGTTAGCAACTACATATATGGTATGGAGATCTCCAAGGATCAGATTGCTTTCAGTCAACCCACCGAGAGTGGAAAACGACTGGCCTCCAAATTCTTCGAAGAGGAGCAGACATGGCATGTCTATAACGAGCGGTGATGAACTGAACAGACGGGGTGGTTCCTATTGGTCCTTATTATTTTATTTTTATATTTTTCTATGTTCTATCAAGCACAGGGGATCGGGGATCTTGGATTCGGTTGGGAGGTTTTTTTATTCTTTATCTGGAATCGGGCTTTGTTGATTCATTATGCCCCATGCATTGTACTATATAGCATTCTTTTTTCTTTGTTCGATGTGATCTAGATCATTCGTTCGTTTCATCCCGAAAAGATTGAAATTTTCTATGTTTCCTATTGGCTATCAATTGAGAATCCCTGTAGTCTATTGGACTCGCGACCGCAGCCTCTCGGGGAGTCCGGACGCTTCGATCGGAAAGCGGCGCGTAAGGACCAAGTCGGCGGGGGACTTTCTCCCCTCTTCCATCTTCTAGGACGAAAGCCCTCACCATTTTCCGTCGCGATGTCTGCTTTCAATCCCTTTCGCAGGAATCTGGAAGGTAAGTGTTTCTCCCTTTGCCTTCCCAATGATGCCTCGTGGTGGTGTGTAGCCGCCACCTCCCGATAAGACACGGCCCAACAAGACACCCCTCAACCCACCCCTCAACGACATTGATGTAGCTAACAAGGATGTAACGCAGGCGGTGCGGCCACCTCGATGGCATCAAAACCTCAATCTACGAATAAGATGGCCTCAAGCCTGACCTCCAGCCCTGCCCAGTCGATTCCCTCGGTGCCTGCTTTCCCCAGAAAGTCATCGTTGTCGTTGGAGATCGAAGAGGATGACTCGTCCTCCTCGGATGAACAAACAACAGACCCTTTCAATCCGGATTCCTCGGTCAGCGATACAGAAGACGATTATCACATCCAGAACTCGAAGAGTCCGGCTCCTGGTGATCATCCCCGGCATTCGTTTGGGTCTGCTCCACACCAAGCTCCATCCACGGACGGATCGGCCACACCCCCATCGGAAGGTCCATTGGCCACAAATGAATACAATGAGCGCTCAACGGCCAGCTCAATAACATCCAGCACCGACCAAGATAATCTTTCATCGCTGAATCGGTCGACTGTAGTATCTGGATATAAACAAAGCACAAGCCCCACGACTCGGACTAATAGAGACAAAAAGCCACCGCCACCGCCGAAGAGCCATCATGGCAAACGGATCAGTGTTACAGCCAATTTACCAGCTTCTCAGTCGGCATCGTCTCGATCACACTACCCACCATCATTCAATTCTACGTCTCCGGAAAGCTTGACCACTTCCCGAACAGCAGTCACCCCCAATGCTAGCTCGACCCTACCACCCGTCCCAGACTACTTCACTATACAATCACAAAGCCAAGCGGCAACAGGCTCAAACGATTCACTGTCGCGCAGTGGTTCTCAAAACAAGCGTGCACCAACGCCACCTCTCAGCCGACGGCAAAGCCAAATGCGATCCAAGTCTACTGAGTCCAAATCGAGTACCAGTCGATTGGCCATGTCCTCACGAGACGCAGAAAGCAACGATAGCCCCCAGCCTCCGAGTCCTGGTCCATCTATCCTGTCGGCGTCATCTTCCTCCAAAGATCGAAACCGTATGAGCATGCCTCCGTCCTCGATGTCTCCTGGGGACCTTCGTGGTGCAATTTCCTCCGCAGGAGCAGGCCATCTTTCACCCTCTACTAACTCCCAACCATCTCACCCTGGGCGACGAGCCTCCTCATATGGTAATATAGCCAGCGGATCCTCCGTAGCACCGCCACCGCCACCTCCCCCTCGACGGGCGCGGGATGGTGCCCGTAACACCGAAGGGAGGCCTGTGTCACAAATTATTACTACAGAGGAGCCATTGCCTCAACCGTCTAATGCGCTTGATATATTGGCCGATCTTTCGCGATTACAGAAAGAGGTGGATGACCTTCGTGGGCAATATGAGAGTCGCAAGGCAAGCGAGTAAAGAAAGAACTCTATTCCTTTTTTTTTTTATTGTTGAACACTGTGGCAATAAGTCGAAGTGAGCTCAGCTGTATGAATGTATGAAATATATCCATTGTTTTCTTTTGCATGAAAATCGTCCCGCAATGGGTTTGGATGCTCGGGGCATGACGTCGTAAAGAGAAAATGTTCCGCTCCAACAGTTCCACCCAAATTGTACCTCCCCGCAATTTTCTTTCTCATCACTTATTTCATCTCTCACACCTACTTTCTCTTTACACTACTACTAACTCACTTCAGCTTGACTACTCTACTGATCTCGATTGTCTGAATCCTGTTATACTGACATTGCATCTTGACACAATGTCGACTCCTACCCTCATCAACCTACCACCTCCTCCTTCGGACCCCGTCACTCCAGACATGGGACCGTAAGCTTTCTCTTTCCCTTCGTCGTTCAATGTATTTGGCACAATAAAGCATGGATGACTGACCTTGGGCGGGGTGGTTTGTTGGTGGGCAGAGGCACTCCCAATTCTGGCACGACTTCCCTGTCTGCGCTGTCAACCACAGCCATCAAAGACGGTCACCAGGGCCAACCTTTCCCTCACGGTCGGCACGCTCATCATTCGTCCACCGCTTCTATCTCGTCCACAAACACCCTGGACGCGGAGCGCGCAGATCGCATCTCCCGCCTGGCCGGCTTGGAACGGGTCGCAACCGCACGAGCTGGTGGCCAGTCACCTTCCAATGCCGCATTTCCTTTGTCCCACACACCCGGCTACTTTGATGGCCTTGCGGCACTCAAGGAGCGAAGCACCGTGGGCAGTGCGAGCGCTACAGGCAGTATCGGTGGTCACACGACTTGGGCGAGCGGCAGTGAGGCCTTCGATGCCGATAAGATGAGCGAGGGCCCCGACGATAGCGTTTCTAGTGTAGGTAATATCAGTGACGAAGGCAATGCCAGCTTGGTTGGCTTCGGCGAAGGCGCCAACAGCACTATTAGCGGTCCTACCTCACGCCCGGCTGGCATCAATCGCTTGTCCTCTGGTGGTGCCGGCGCCCGTCCGACTTCCATGGGAAGCTCAAATGTCAGTCGCCCGAATCCGATTGCTTCATATGTCCAGCAACAGCAGCAGCAGCAGCAGCATCATGACTTTGCCGGTGATAGTCCCATGATGTCTTCTTCACCCGCTGGCTCTAACACCCCGGAGCCTCTCTCGGAAGATGCGCGTATGATTGACGGCATGACCTTTGACCAGGATGTGGTTGATACCACTGCTCGTACGCCACGGATTGTTACGCCGTCCAACCAGGGCGCCAGCGGATTTGGGGCCCCGCGTGAATAGACTTCTGGGAGTCAATGGATTGGCTTGATCGTGAGTTTTAGGATGGAGTTATTATGGATATTTTTCTTTCTTTTTTCTTTTCTTCATGTTTCCTCGGGATTGATGGACTAGTTTCTTTGATTTGCTTTTCCCCCTGGTCTGTCTGTGTTCTTCACGCGGGACCCATGTATTTCTATGCGGGGGCGGATTCTTGGGAAAAGGCAACAAACACCACCAATGATGGACACGACAAACACGGATATGGATATGAGAATTTTTTTTTATGTTACCTTCAGGCGCAGTTCAAGCAATGTTCTTTTCATTTTGATCTTAAGACTTTGGGCTGTAATTAGATACTACGTGGCGTTATTATGGAAAACCTGCTGTTTTATTCGTCTCGCATGACTAAAAACTGAATTTTCAGTGGTTATTGAAGGCGCTTCAGTAATTTTGAACAAGGAAATCATGAACTGAAGCCTGCAATATACACATAAAACCAATTATAGAACATCGGTTGTTATAGTCATGGCTAGACCAGACCCCCGGCAGCCTAAATGACGGCATGCCGCCTTCGAGCTGATGCCGCTACGCGACACCCGAATTTTCTCTTTCACTCTTCATCCTCCCCACCTCCACCCCTCAAACTCCACCACTCCTCCCCCTCGGCTCTGCCCTCCCTGCTGGCATTGACTTGTCTAGCATAGAACACTAAGAAGACTCCGACAATATCATCTCGCTGCTCCCCCCGCATTCCAATTGAGTTTTAACTCAAGATCCAAACCTGACATTCATCGGCTCGCCACATCGACTGATTCCATTCAGCCTTATCGAAGTTCTTTGCCTCGTGCTTTTCCATCGATCGCTCGATTTATCTCTTTTCCGACGTATTCCTTCGAGACTCATCGCGGTCGCATTTTTGCCAAGTTGCGACAATAGATTCGTCTTGTTTGCCCTGAACTTGTGCATACATTCTTCCGTCCAGGAATCAAGAAACTGAGGGCATACACACTGCTTCCTGTCTTTTGGGAACCAGATATTTTGAAGAACTCTTTTCGTGGCAATTTCATCCCAGCTATTTGAATTCAAGATGGCGGCAACTACGCAGCTAGCTTGTGTGTTTACCCTGCTCCTGTGACAAAAGTCGAAACGGCTCAAATGACACGTGCTGACTTGCCTTTTAGACCGCACTCTCAAAGGGATTGGCATTATGGATGCCGCCCCTACTTATGAGCCTTTGTCGGGCTTTGAAAGGTAGGACTTTAGGCTGAAAATAATTAAAGCTGGACCGATCGCTAACTTGGCTGTTGCAGACCTGAGGGGAACCTCCGCTGCGGTGCATACTCGCCGTGTGGCCGTTACTATGCATGGGCGTCTCCCGAAAGGTAAGTTGGTGTAACTGTCTAAAACATTGTTTTGGAATTCTAATTGATTTCGGTCTACAGGGTTACCATTGTTGATGCCCGTGTCGGCAACGTTGTTTCCACAATCAACGCCGAGAACGTGTTCGAGTTGGGATTCTCACCACTGGGAACCTACTTGATTACTTGGCAACGGCCAAGCAAGGACGCCAACGGAGATGCCACCAAGAACCTCAAGGTGTGGCGCGCGGTTGAGAGCGGTGACGAAAACACCATCGTCGGCCAGTATGTTCAGAAGTCGCAGACGGGCTGGAACCTGCAGTACACCCCCTGACGAGAAGCTGTGCGCCCGCGTCGTGACCAACGAGGTCCAGTTCTACCAAAGTGGTAACTTGTCGACCGTTTGGAACAAGCTGCGCGTGGAGGGGGTGGCGGATTTCGCGCTTTCCCCAGGACAGACCCATTCGATTGCGGTGTTTATTCCTGAGCGTAAGGGCCAACCCGCCCAAGTCAAGGTGTACATTGTGCCGCAGTTCAATGCACCGGTTTCGCAGAAGAGCTTCTTCAAGGGTGACAAGGTCCAGCTCAAGTGGAATGCCTCCGGCACTACTGTTATTGTGCTGGCGCAGACCGAGGTAGACCGCACCGGTAAGAGCTACTACGGCGAGACTACCTTGTACTTGCTTAGTGCCAATGGCGCATTTGACTCTCGAATTGATCTTGGTATGTATCCCAAAATATTGAATGACTGATGCATAAGCTAACCCTCACCAGACAAGGAAGGACCCATCCATGATGTGAGCTGGAATCCCAACTCCAAGGAGTTCGGTGTCGTCTACGGTTACATGCCCGCCAAAACCACCATCTTCAACATGCGTGGTGTGCCTAAGCACCATTTCCCCTTGAGCCCGCGTAATACCATTCTGTTCTCCCCTCATGGGCGATTCGTTCTGGTTGCCGGTTTCGGTAACCTCGCAGGTCAGATGGACCTCTACGACTTGGACAAGAACTACCACAAGATCACCACCGTGGAGGCCTCCAATGCCAGCGTGTGTTCCTGGTCACCGGATGGACAATACATCCTGACTGCCACCACCAGCCCCCGCCTGCGTGTTGACAACGGTGTCCGTTTGTGGCACGTCAGCGGTGGCCTCATGTACAACGAGGACATGACTGAGCTGTACGACATCGACTGGCGTCCCCAGGACACTGCCCAGATCCCACTGGGTGACCCCTTCACCAAGCTGCCCGTGCCTCATCCATCTGCTACCGCCTACCTGGCCACCCGCAAGGCTCCCGTGAAACCCGCTGGTGCTTACCGTCCCCCGGGTGCCCGTGGCCAGCTGACCCCTCTTGCCTTCAAGCGTGAGGATCAAGGTGGTGCCGCCTTTGTTCGGGATGGTGTTCCTGGCGCTAGCATGAACGGCTTCGGTAAGCCTCGCCGCCGTGAGGTTCCCGGCGCCGATGCTACCGAGGAGTACCTGCCCCCGGGTGCCGCCCCCGGTGGTGGTGTTCCCCTCCCACCCGGTGGAGACGAGAAGCTGTCCAAGTCTGCTGCCAAGAACAAGAAAAAGCGCGAGGCTGCCAAGAAGGCCCGTGAGGACGGTGTCCCCGACAACCAGCCTCCGGCCAACGCTCCCACTGGCCCCAGCCCAGACCGCAACCGCAATCGCAAGAACAACGGCCCCTCCGCCAATGGCAACGGCGCTCCTAAGCAGGCTGCTGCCGCTCCTGCTCCCGCTCCGGAGCCCGAGGATGCCAACCCCTCCGCTCAGGACAAGAAGGTTCGCGGTCTTCTGAAGAAGATTCGCGCCATCGATGAGCTGAAGATGCGCCTTGCCGGCGGTGAGAAGCTGGAAGACACGCAGATGAAGAAGATCCAAACCGAAGATGTGGTCCGCAAGGAGCTGGCGGCTGTTGGATACGATGGATAAACATTGCATCCCCAGATCTAATACCATCCCTATGTATTGAATAACCGATATGTCGTGATTATCTAGATTTCCTCACAAACGGTGCAGATAGGGGCCGGAGTCATTTTGATTGCATGAGTCGATATTGGTATACAGTATATATGGTGCATTTATCTCCCGTATATCCATCATCTGCCGAACAGGCAAAGCACAAATGAGACCCAAATTGAATTGAACTGGTGTCATGTAGTCAAGTCCGTGATTCTAAGTCTGTCTAATTGTCCAGGTGGTGGCTCATACAATTGATTGAGAATAGATTAAAAGAGCCAAGAAGAAGCCATGCTGGAAAGTGAAGGAATGAAGGAACGCAGGAACAAGTAGCTCAAGAAACTTGAAATCTAATGAAATGTTTGCTTGGATAGTCATTCTCTACTGAACATCCTCTTGAACTGCCTTATACTTTGCACAATGACACTTAAGTATCTCATCACGGGAGGAACTGGTGGTCTCGGAGCTCACGTCCTATCTTACTTGAGCGCCAATGTCCCCGCTTCAGAATACGCAGCCTCGTCCTCCAATGAAGCGAGTCGCAGCCAATTTGAAGACCGGGGAATTGCCTTTCGAGTATTAAATTATGACCACCCAAAGATCTTGGAAAGTGCCTTGCAAGACGTGGAGAATCTCTTCTTTGTGAGCTCTAACACCCACGATCCGCAACGGCGGATTCGTCAACATCAGAATGTGGTCGATGCGGCCAAGATAGTGGGTGTTCAACATGTAAGATTTACCATATGAAATGCTCGGCCATCATCAAGAGTGCTGAACTATTATTTATGATTCTTGGTGGCAGATCTGGTATACATCTCTTTCCTTCGGTGGCTTGGAATCTAATAGCAATGCAAACTTGATGGAAGGACATTTAATGACCGAAGAGATGCTACGAAAGTAAACTAATAAATCCATTCACTCAAACTTTCTTGACTTCGTCTATTTAAATGGCTAAAACAAACCCAGATCTGGCCTTAACTTCACATCTATCCGTGAGGGGCCATACGCCGATGCCTTTCCAGTGTGGATGGGGTGGTATCCCAACACCTCAACCGTCTATCTCCCCTCCGATGGTCCGATGGCATTGACGCTCCGATCTGAGCTCGGTGAAGCTACGGCCCGGCTCTTGATGCGCGGTGGAAAGGACTATAACGAGAAGACTGTTGTCCTGACCGCTCAAAAGACCTTGACCTTCGCTGGCGTTGTTGACGTGATTAACAGAACGACGGGTCGACAGGTTCAGGTGGAGTTGGTTTCGCCTGATGAATTTGTCCGATTGAAGACTGCAGATGATGTAGGCGGGAAGTCCGAAGCATTCTTTCGGTTCGTGTTGTCCTGGTATGAGGCGATTTCCAGCGGTGATGCGAGCTTTACGCATCACCTTATGGCGGAGTTGCTCGGGCGAGAGCCTACGCCCGCTGATGAAGCTATACGGGGGCTGTTGATTGAGGATTCGGATTATGAGTGGCATCAGAACTATGCTAATCGTGGTCAGCACTAGACGGGTCAAGGAGATGGATCAATGTGATATCCTGTGATTCAATTGAGTCGGCATTCTAAAACATCATTCATAAGTAACGAATGTAACTGAAGTGGTCTTGTAGAATAAACTCCAAAAAAAAAATGAATAAAAAAAATTGGTATGATTGGACTACTCTGGAAATGAATGAGTACATCTGAATATGCTGCTATTTATTCAAAATGTACATAATTAATGTTATTACATATGTCCCATCGGAGCCCTTCCAACACATCACAGTTGTTCTGGACTGCATCCTTCTTCTGTGCTTCGTGGCTACCAATGTAGGAGCTTGTCCGGAGACAGACTGGCATCCACGAAGCCAGAGAAGAACACAGTGATCCCAGACACAATTGTGGGCGCCGCGACCTTTGCCGGGTAGGCGAGGATCACAGAAGGATGAGGCTAGGCCGTGGAAAGCCTTGATTGATGGTGATTGATATATCGCATCCGATACAGAGCTTATTCACTTCCGAAGAAGGAATTTCAAGGCATGGACCTCGCCTTGCGCTCCACCTTGCAGCGCGAAAAATTAAAAATAAAGGAACACTAGAGAAGAAAATTGCCTAAGGTGAGCTGAAAGGTTAAATATCTTTGCAAATTAAGCGTCGTTCATGGGTATCATCTAAAACTGAATCCGATACCTGGGATCAAGCGAAGATGCGGGTCCGTTTGATAGGGCTGTTCATGCCGCTGAGCAGCCGTCCCATTCCCTCCACATCTAGCTCGCCTCGTTGCAGCATCATTTGGTCATTGACTGTGGCTTCTTGCTGTGCACCATGGGTTGCTGTGTTATCCTCGGCGGATTCGGTCAGGCGTGGCGCAAGGATCATCACCTGGTGCTCCGCGGCGACCAGAACGTCAAATGATTGACGCTCGGCAGCACGAGAGCGGCGGAGAGGTGCCGGAAGGTGGCTGATTGCCTGGCAGTTCTCACCCATTAGGTTCACATCCTGGAATGGGGTCACACGGCATCGGTTGGATGCGTCAAGGGTGCCAGATGCTCGGACAGCGTTGCGCCAGAGTGAGATCAAACTTGGGATCATCGCACTTTGCCGACCATGACGGAAGAGAATTGACTCATCTGGAATTGCTTCTTGAGATGAGTTCATCTGAAGGACAGATATTTGTCCTCGGAGAGAAGGGGTTACTTCAGTCATGGACCCCTTCAGGAGAGTATCCTCGCGAACCCGCTTGGTGGATGGTGTCATTGGCGCAAACCGCGGCCGGTTCTCAATCTCAGACTGGGTATTGGATAGAGGAGTTGCAATGCGACCACTGACAGCATACGCTGTGAGGGACCCTCCAGTCACACCCTGCACGGTGGTTTGGCGGTGCAACGGCCCCTTTGCAGCCCCAGGGCCAGCACCTTCAATGTCCCAAACACCCCATTCACCATCTACTAGAAGTACCATGACAGCGCGGCCACCCAGAACCCATTCGGCATCAATGATGGTCTTGCGGCGAGGGAGTCCTGTTGGGCTCTGCTCAAACCCAGGGTACAAGCTGATTAGCCAGCGACCCTCTGTGTCAATGGTTTCGTATTCTTCGTTTGCATTCGATGCCCGCCGCGCTGTCTTCGGGGCCTTTATAACAGAAAAACAAGAATAGATCTTGACGCATCCACTGTGGAAGGCAACCAACAGATGAGAATGGCGAGCCGATGGATACGTGGAGGGGTTGAAGACAATATTCTGAGCTGGTGAGGGCAAAAGTCGCCGTTGAGAGATGATGTCCTCTTCAATGATGCGATAGTATCCGTTGGACTCTTCACGAACCGGAAGCCGATGTAACAGAAGCACACCAGGTCCCTCAGCGGAATGGGTGGCCACAAGAAGATCCCATTTTCCCGATCCCCCAACTCTGCTTCGCGGCTTGCGGCGTTCTTGGTCGTCTTCCGTATCCTGGCAGGTAAATGTAAGGGAAACACCGCGAGGAATATCTTGATGGGTCACGCCCCCGTTGATAGTGAGAGATTGGATGTGCCAACTTTGAGGGTCGGTCTGTGTCGGGTGAGGAGGGATGAGAGGTAGAGTAACGACATGGGTTGAGAAGTCCGAGCAGACTGCTGCTATGACGATGGTATTGTTCGCAATGGGCGGGAATGGATCCAAAGGTGAGCGTGCTTCCTCAGGAAGAACACGAGGGATAGCCAGATCCAGCACGCGACTGCCCAAGGGAATATCGATTTGTCGCAGAACGGGTTCAAACGGAAATGCAGGGTCGACTTCGCTTTCCTCAGAGACAAAATCATAACTGGATTCTTCTTGGGCTGGGGCTGCTTCGGAGGCATTTTCCTCATCGGAGTCAATGATCATGACTGCATCGCCGTCGTTGTTTGCATTGCTCTTGGCCTGCCGTGAAGGTTCGGGCTTTTTCAGCTCTGAAAACTGCCTTCCTCCTCTCCATACAACTTTCAAGCCTGTTTCGTTACCGTAGACAATAATCGAAGAGCCATTGGGAGCTCGGAGAGGATATCCTTTAGCGGCGTGGATGCGATGCGGTAATCGATAGCTGAATTCCAAACAATTTTAGTGATCATATCCCGATCGTAGGAAGTAACATGGGCCCTTACCTCAGTTGCAAGCCATCTTCTCTCTGCCGAACCAACGGTGTTGCGGGAAACGAAGGCATTGCCCTGCTAGCGCTGACGGAGCGCTGGAACTCGGGGACACAGGCGCTGTGGACACCGTGAAAAAGAAAATTTGAGCTCGATCTCAATGGCTTGAGCTCGGTAAAGAATTCAGTCAAGCACAATTAGATAGTGAGTAAGGGATGTTGAGTGTAGAAGTAGTGGCGTGGTTGCGAGAGAAAAGGAAAGTTGTTTTGGCCGGAAGCTCAAGAACTTAAGTCGATCCAATCCGCGTTCCTGCGCGTCCTCCACCCTTCAGCATTCAACAGTCAACAACGCTCGAAAATGCCTTTCGGGCTAGACATTTCGGCTTAAACTCTTCCTCTCTGACCATGGAAAACAGTTCATTCAGAAATCCGGGCCGTCAGATTGTTTATGACGGCGAGCCGCGATCGCTACTCTAGTTGAACAAACAGCCCACTATGGCTTCCACTCGCTCTCTCGGTCTCCACGAACCCTCTGCCGTCTCCTACTTGGTCACAGAAGGGATTTTACCTCCTGACCCCTCAGACGACCTGTACCAATGGACGACACTTGTCGATGAGAGCGGATTGACGGGCACTGTTGATGACGAGCTGGTATGGACCAAACATTGCGCGGTATGGTCCCGCGCAGGGATGGTGAAGAGAGTCTTTCGAATGGACCCAGAGAAAGAGGATATTCGACATGCTTTGTTCACGCAATTTACGACAAGTCATGCCCAAAGATCTGCAGGTAGCGCGGGGTTGAATCGATTCCACACAACCGGCATGGGAACAAATACGCGAGGTGCACAATCGAAGCGGAATGGGAAGGATTCAACCACTGGCAACATAGGGTCAACATTGGATCTTCATGGAGAATCTCATGCAGCTGTGATTGCTCCCCAGCAGCCCCACAAGAAACTGGAGAGAGCTTTGGTCGTGGTCCTCAAGTCGCAGGCCCATATCTTCTTCATTACGGGAAATAGCCACACCGTTCCTCTTCCATTTGAGGTTGAGTCTGTTTTTGCAACTCCTCGTGGGCTCTTGTTTCAAAGGAAAATACCAGATGATGCGGGGCACCAACACCAAATGGCACCACCGAATTCTTTCATGACCACTTCACTATTCGATCCTGGTGCGTCACAATCAGGCACACTGCCCACTCCCACCAAGGACAAAGGACCTATTTTGAAACTGTCGTTGCCAACGAGTTCTACATCGTTGTCAAACTCCAATTCGAGCACCGACCTTCCCCGGGTTTTCTCTCTCATTGATCCTCATTCGGAGATGGGCCTAGTTGTCACTTCGCAATCCTCTCGCTGGTTACAAAGCAGCATCAGCAGTGCCAAGAAAAGACCTTCGGGGCTTGATGTACTAGACCCGGCTGATGAAATTGTGTATATTTCCCCAAAGGACGAGCTCTCGGGTTTGAATCAAGTTCCGGCAAATCCTCTGATTTTGGTGGTCACAGTGAACGCAACTACCGGGCTCTACACGATTTGGACTGCTCGGTATAGAGATGATGAAAGCAGTGCTTCAATAAAGGACAAGACTCGACGGCAGACTGAAGGGGCTCGGTCCAACAGACGAAGCTCACATTTTGGTATGACGCCTGGCGCCGCGACACCAGCTGCTCGTCCCAGAGAAAGCTTCGGTCCATGGAGTGAGAACTGGAATTCATCACAACCAGCTGACTCTAAAAATGGTGGCGAAGAAGATCTGGCCGCACGAGTTGCACAGGACTTCGGTGATGTTGGGGTGCCTCTGAAAACTTCAAGGAGAGTCAGCTCATTGCTTGCACGGACTGACCTGGCCACTAGTCAGGACCGCATCACATTCTCAGACCTTGCAACAGGCAGTCAGACCAGCACCATGCACCATGGCGGGCCCAGGCAATCAATGGGGACCGGTAGCATGCGTGGAAGCTTTGGGTTCAATCCTCGTGGATCACTACCTCCAGCAGCAGGGTCTGTCTACAGCACTGCAGGCAGCTTTGTAGACGCTCCGGTGGATAGACTACTTGAAGAACTCAACAATGATATACTGTCCGAAGGGTTCGAGAATATCGCTCTCCGTGAATCTGCATCAGGTCTACCCGAGGAGCTTTTACTCACTAAGATAGAGAGTTTCTCTTCTAGATTCTCCGGAAACTTCCATGCTTCAACGCAGCAAGACACGCCACGTCGCTTAAAAGTCTGCACGCTTTCCTCTTCCGACTACGGGAATACACAAAACGGAAATGCTACATCAGTGGCGGTTTGCATTGTGGACCAGGATTCACAAAACATGACCGTTGTCAATTTACGGGCAGAACGTGTGGCAGTATCAAAAAATCGAAAGGTTGTCCCTGCGAGCTCCAAGAAAGCTAAGCACTCCGAAAGGCGTCCATTGCTGGTTCATGCAACCGGTATCCAGCATGCTCCCAATGTCGGAGATGTCTGCAGAGTAACGGACGGTGATATCTCTCGAATTCTTACGCTGACCGTGTCCGACAATGGACAGCGGGAATTGTCTCTACAGACCCTCTGGGGTAGCCCAACCAGAATCGATGTTCCGGTTCCATTGCAGCTTTATGAGCCCCATGGAATCTCTGCGAGCAAATTTGTGAGTCGTTCAAGGGAGAGCGGCATGAACCGGGTCATGGCCGACCCTAACCTCGTGTTCCTGGGATTCGATCATGCTTGCTCGAAAGGAAAGGTTGATTTGGTCGATACAGAGAAACGACGGCACAGAATCCAGATCCGAATGGAACCCCATAACGATCTTGTGAGAAAGGTTCTACAGGTCTGCAAGTTCGTTCTTCGTGACTCAGAGAAAGCAGGTGATGGGATGTTGGTGGCCTGGTGGGAGGTCATGAAGTGGCTTCGAGGCAGAGAAGACATTCAAAATGACCTTGAGTGGACTGCCATGGTCGTCGTTTTGTTTTCCTTGGCTGTGCCGTTCATAAAACAGCCACAGGCGCAAACTCCTGCCAAGCGAACACGTCGAAAGAAAGGTCTTCTCCGTTCAAGTAGCGGAACTTATGTGGATCTCGAATGCTGGGAATCTATGCTTGATCTTGAATCGGCTTCTTCTGGTGTTGTTGCACCGTGGATGACGAATAGTTCTTGGGGATGGATCGTCGAGCAAGATGCCATTGAAGATATGGCCGGCCGAGATGCAGCACGCACTCCCAAGAATGAACAGCCCAATACAAGTCGCTCAACTTACCGTCAAAATTCATATCTCAGCAGATGTGCCTCGCTCAGTCGCGACTTCCTGCAAAGCCCACAAGGAATCAGGGCGTCCGGCCGAGATGGTTATTTACCTATCGCCGGCGTCTTTCCTGAGAATACCAGGTGTACTGCACTCGGAACCATACTGGTTGGTCTGCATCTGCTTAGAGAGGAACAGAAACTTTCTACCTGCGACACGGAAGAATCTCAACGTCCTCTTGGGCTCCTTGCCCCAGTCTTAGCGCAGCTTGGTGGCTGGTTGGGTTGGCAATCTTGGAAATGGACCGAGGATGCCTACTTTGGCACTGAGATGGCCAGCATCGAGCGCTGGAAATTTGAAGACAGTCGAATTTCCTCGCTGAATGTTCCCGCGGAGCCATTTTCTCCCCCGTCAATATTTGCATTCCTCATTGACGCGGCACGTTCTTCCGTCACTCCGTTTCTCACTCTACTTGATATTGTAACGGCATCGGATCGAGTACCTAGAAAGGGGCGGATGTGGCGAGAATGCTTCAATATTACCCCTAGGACATTGGCCTTGACAGGCTTCCTCTCTGACGTTCACAATGTTTCCACACCTTTGGAAAAGATTAAGCTCTTACATCGATGGGGCTTGACAAAAAGCATAATTGACACATTCCCCGAAGGTGTGAGTGCGCCATTGTATGAAGCTGTCATTCAATGCCAGGTTGAAGCATCGACATCATGGAGTGCAAGTCTTCTAGAACTGATTGACCGGGAGGATCTTTACATGTCGATGAATCCCGTTCATGCTCAAGCGTTTGCGGTCCCTCAACACTCTGTGGTTTCTCATGATGCTGTACGAGACTACCATTATATCAACACTTCGGCTTTGGAAATTGATACCATCAACGCCTTCGAGGCCTCTGCGGAGGCGGATCGCTTCTCGGTAACTCGCCTGGTCTTCCGGGAAGACAAGCGCTTCTTAGAAGCAGCCCGCCTATTGAATCAGTCTAAAGCGCCAGTGGCTGACTGTGTTCCCGAGCCCGACTGGACGGATTCTGATCTCCTAGAGGCACAGAAAGAATTGGTGCAACTCGTCTCATTCCGCACACTGTCAACTCCTGCAGGTCGGGCCATGCTCGCCTTCAGTGGTCGATTACCTTTGTTAACAGAGAAGCTACCGATCCCTTCATTCTCGCTTCAGTGCGTGATGAAGCCATCAAATGTCACTGTTAGTGCCGAAAGAACCGCGTTCACGGAGGAAAAAGTATGCTGGGCTTTCTTCCACAACGGTGTGTCAACGGGCCTTGCAATCTCCAAGGCCTCCAAGGGCATCGATACTTCATGGATCTTGTTCAACAAACCCCAAGACCTAACGAACCGCCACGCTGGATTCTTACTAGCTCTCGGTTTGAATGGTCATCTCAAGTCCTTAGCCAAGTGGGTTGCCTTCAAGTACCTGACTCCCAAACATACCATGACATCCATTGGCCTTCTGCTCGGTCTCTCCGCGTCATACTTGGGCACTATGGATACACTGATCACCCGACTACTGTCGGTCCATGTTACGAGGATGCTGCCTATTGGAGCGGCAGAGCTCAATCTATCGCCTCTTACCCAAACTGCCGGTATCATGGGCATTGGCCTGCTTTATTGTGGCTCTCAGCACCGGCGCATGAGTGAAGTTATGCTGTCGGAAATCGAGAATGTTGAACAAGACGAACAAGCCGCGTCCCACGAAGATTTGCGGGATGAAGGCTACCGACTGGCTGCTGGATTTGCACTAGGTCTTATCAATCTGGGCAAAGGTAAAGACTTGAGGGGAATGCGCGATATGCACATAGTTGAGCGCCTGCTCGCCATCGCCGTGGGGACTAAAAATGTCGATCTCGCACATGTGCTGGATCGAGCTACCGCGGGCGCGACAGTCGCGTTGGCTGTCATTTTCATGAAAACCAATGATGCAATTTTGGCCAAGAAGATTGACATACCCGACACCACTGTGCGGTTTGACTATGTCCGACCAGATCTCTTCCTCTTGAGGACACTGGCACGGCATCTCATCATGTGGGACAGCATCAAGCCCAATGTTGAATGGATCAAGGAGAGCCTGCCAAAGGTATACCGAAAGCGGTCTCGTCTTATTGCCGTGGGCCATCTTCGAAGTGAGGACATGCCCTTCTTCAACATCATTGCTGGTCTCTGCCTAGCGCTCGGCCTTCGCTATGCTGGCTCCGGTGATATCCAAGCAAGAGATTTGCTGTTGTATTACCTCGATCAGTTCATCCGAATCTCGCGGCTTCCAGCAATGAGCTACGACTCTAAGCTTGCGCGGAATTCCGTTCGCAACTGTCAGGATGCAGTATCACTCTCTACTGCAGCCGTCATGGCCGGGACGGGTGACTTGGCTTTGTTCCGGCGCCTGCGTTCTCTTCATGGGAGAATAGATGCCGATACCCCATATGGCAGTCACATGGCAGCTCATATGGCAATAGGGACCTTGTTCCTTGGTGGAGGGAGCTACACGCTGGGCACCTCAGATCTAGCTGTGGCCTCGCTCCTCTGCTCCTTCTATCCGGTCTTTCCAACCACCGTCCTTGACAACAAATGCCACCTTCAAGCGTTCCGCCACCTCTGGGTACTCGCCGCAGAGCCACGATGCCTCATTCCCCGCGATCTCGACACCCGACGCCCGATCTCCATTCCTATCACTATCACATCGCACTCCGGCGCCATCAACACCACCAACGCTCCGTGTATCATACCGGACCCCAGTGAGATTACACGTATCGAGATTCGTGGCCCAGATCACTGGCCCCTTGTACTAGATTTCAGCCAGGATGATGCTCTTCGAGATAAATTCCGCCACGGTGATCCCTCTATTTACCTGCGCCGTAAAGCTACATACTCCTCCGATGCTTCAACCTCGGTATTTGCCTCTACCCTCACGGCTTTAAGTGAAGCCCAAGATATTCTCCCTGGATCTGCAGTTGGAGCCGCTCCTAGCGCAGGCAAAGGCCTACCACCCTCTATCTTGCGCAACCGCAATGCACTGCTTTCTGAGTTCATGACAGGGTCTACGACACCTTCGCAAAGCCCGTGGGATTGGGTTTTCCACCTCCCCTCCCTCCAAGGTCTTGATATCCGTGAACGCTCGCTTGTGCTCCCCTCTTCATTTCCAACACCATCTCCTCGCATCTCCACCCAGCTGGTTACCTCTCCTCCTTGGCTGCGCACTTCTGCCGTCGACGCCCGTCTTGCCTTATCTCGCACTGTGCATAATATCGTACAGTCTGCTCGTGGCCGGGGTGCGGACTCCGATGAGGTCCGTGACCGCATCTGGCAGCTCCAGCTTCTATTCGACTGGCTTGATCGTTCGCACGGTGATGAACATGACACTGCTAGTCACCAGCAATCGCAGTCCCAGACACCAGTCTCAGGTCTTTGGCTCAGAAAAGACTTTGTTGAAGAAGCTAGATGGCAGGTCTGGGGAGTTCAGGTTGAGGACCAGGGCGTTAATGCTGGCTCGTGAGTGTGGCATGATGTGTTTCTTGTTTGCTGCTCTGGTTCGTGGCGGCTGGGCATCCTTGTACGATATGATATCCATAGTATGATAATGCACCTAGTATAGTTTCATGAAGCGTTATGTTCTCGGTCTGAATGGCATAGTGTAGGGTTTGATGAGGAATTTAGACATTCATATAACCACAGTTTGGAGTAAGCTTTCAATGATTTTAGTTCCAATGATTTGCAACATAGTCAAGGGGTCTAGATCCAGTCATCTCCTTTCTTTTTCATCTTGCATACCCTTCTACAATTTTTAGTATCATAAATTCAAGGATCAAATTAGCCTGCAATAAAAGCAATGCAGCGTGACGAGGAAGGGCTAACTGAAGCCCACCAGGGAGAAGGTGTTTTGGCCGCGTTGATTCTCAACGCTGCATATGGTTTACTGCACTATTAAGTTGGAGGCTGCTTCATTGATACATCACATATACCGGTAAAAGATGCCTTTATGCTAGAGTATATTTGTTTATCCTTATGTTCCCTTAGGTTCTACGACCCTTGTTCTGCTACTGTCGAACTTGGATGAAGTTCATGGAGGGTTCGTGGGGAGCTGGTAATTTTGCGGTGAGTCTTCCTGATTAATATTTAGCCCTGACAAGTTTATTTAGTGATTGGTGCGCATGGATCACGGCAGCCCACTGCTTTAGAGTTGAAAATTGTCGAACGCCAGGGCAATGAGGATTGGACGACAGTTTCAAATGTTAATTTCCAAGGTGATGCTGTTCCCCTATCTAAGGGTTGCCTACTGCGAATTTGGGGCTTGTAGCTCATCTGAGCGATGGAGGAGGTTCAATGATGGTTAAATCTTCCTAGTTGACTGTATATCTAGGTGATCGTGTTCCAAAAGGTTGGTTTTAATTGCTTTGCTGGTCAACGGATAATCTTTGGATGGTATAGTCAAGGCATATGCATCGTACATAATATATATACGGATGTCAGAAGTCGGAAATATAAATAGCAGTGGAAACTCAACGAGGCCTACTACCTAAGCAATTGATTACTGAGATCGGATCTGGCCCTCCTTCAGCAATCCACGGTCACCACCACCGCCCTTCTGCCACAACCATACACCTTCAACGGCCCACGCGGCAGCGCTGGCATGGCGGCCAATCCCCGATGCAAGCGGCATAGTTGCCTCGCCCTGATCATTTTTCTTATCCTGCCCATCCTGGCTGGTCCGGGAATTCATGCCTGGGAACTGGCCAGATGCACCCTCCGCTTCAGCTAACATGCCTGCCACAACACCTTCCTTCTCAATCACATGCCACAGTCCCTCTGATAGCTGTCCACCACGATCTCCGAACTCTGAACGACCAAGACGGAAAAGAATCCGGCCTATAACCTGCCATGCAACACACCGTTGAGCAGGGAACGTTGAGCGCGATAAGATCGCCAGTTCCGGGATGGTATACCCCGCTGCGTGCGGATCCTCGCCGTGATGATGGAGGCCAAGGGTAGTCGGGAGAGAGAGAGAGGTATTAGGTGCGATTAAGGTTCCACGCAATGAGAATCGAATGCCAGAGGGAGCGATAGACGCGGCGTTGCTGGCAGGGTGATAGGGAGATGTAGAGTCTGGATCCTCTTCGTCGGCAGAAGGCGGTTTGAGCCACGAGAGTCCAGAGGGGTCGTGAGCCATTTCGGGAAAGTAGTGAGATTGCATGTCTGCGAGAAAGTTTGGGTCGTTGGGGTCGAGTGTCGGCATCGGTTGCTTTGGCTGGGGGAAATGGAAGGTTTCAATCATAGCCGGGTCTAGGGATGGGCGTTCAGAGGCCGGGCGAAGATCTTCTGGGATTTTAGAGGGAGGAAGATCATCGTTGGTTGGGGGCTTCGGAGGAGCCATCTGCAGTTTTGGGGTAGGTTCTGGCCTCATATTGGGCGTTGGCTCCACGGCAGGAGCCGGGATATCGAAGGAAACGACTTTCTTCGATTTTGATGGTGCCGATTGATTTGTTGGCTCTGCCGCTGGCTCCTGTGAACCCTGACTGAACTGATCATCTTCGTCTATTTTTGCCCGCCGTAGAAAGCGTTCTAATAGACCGGGGTCTATTGAGGCCATCAGCTCTTCCCGCTCGCGCTGAATCTGCGCTTCCGACATGGATGCCAGGTGCCTGCTGTTCTCCGCCGCGATCGAGGACTTTTCATCTGGGGCGGTTGGCGTTGGAGCGTCATTTAGCTGAGCCGGCTCAGCTGCCTGAGCTGCCTGCTCTGCTCGTCGTTGCTTGAAGGAGGAAGGCTTGTTGCGTCGTCGGTGGGCGGGGAAACCAGTGGAAGAAGCGGTGGGCGTAGGGGCTGGCGGTGCAGCTGGGGCCGGGTCTCGCTCCTGAATCTCTCCAATGAGAGAGAAAGGAGAAGGGACTGGGTTCTCTGGAGGATTGACCTCGTCCTCCAGGTCTAGGACAAAACGCTCACCTCGGAAAGACATGGCGGATGGAAAGGAAGTTATGTCAGCGCGGGGCCTGCGGCTCAAAAAAGCTAAAATGTGGATGCATCACACTAACCACATCTGGCTAGCGTGCGATGTGTCTGTACTAGTCCCAAAGAGGCAATCCTGCGCAACCAAATTCGGAAGCTTTGATCCAAGCTAGTCAACTTCTGTTTTGCACACCTCTCGTTGGGCAGCATTGCATCTCTGGAATCAGGTTGATTCCCAGATACCTGACTCCAGTCTATCGAGTCCTCTTCGGCCCTGATGTGCTCATATAGGCAGAAGCCGGAAGTGGTGGCATGTCGGCTCGGCTTGCTGGAACTGATCTCCGGTAGGGCAAGTCAAGCATATAAAATCAATTCACTGCATCTATGAACATTTCCATAATCTTCTTCCTCGACCAAGCCAATGTTTTCCCGACAGATTATCATATCCCAAGGCGAAGTCGCTCGGATATACGTATAGAGGGGAAATAGGGTCTGTGTGCTCATGTATACTTAGACGCCCCACTGACGCTAGATCCGCGCGCATGGCTTCAGGATGATCATTCCATGATTTCTAGAGCTTCAGGTTTTCAATTATAAACTCCTGTATCTATATTCCAGATTTGGTCACAATCAAGCTCTGAATGATTGTCTTCCCTTGTGATTGGTTGATCTATGAATGTATTCGATTTCTGATTTCCATACATATCAAACCGGGAAAACTCCCAATTAATGAATCGACCACATCAAAACTCCTTGATCGCTATTTTCCCCTTTCTTGCCCTTTTTCTTTTCTTTTCTCTTCCTTCCTTTCCCTTTTCCTTTCCCTCTCTCTTCAACTCATTTTCTTCTTGATCTGCACCATCCCCCACTGTTTCATGTTCAAGTTCATGTTCATGTTCTCGGTGTTTGAGCTATAACACATTTGTCTTATCTGTGATTCCCTCCCCCCCCCATTCTCTCTCTCCATTCCCCGTTTTCCTTTTTCCTTCCCTTCCCTTTGGTGATAATCGACTCCCGACCGTTGAATATCTCCACCATCGGTCTCCATCAAATTAATTATAATTTTCCATTTTTTTGATCATGTCCACCGATTCTCCTATGGAGGTGACTAAGGACGATAAACCAGTCATCGAAGAGAAACCTGACAAGCGACGTGTCTCTGGCCCGGCCAGACGGTCGCGTCGGAAGAAGGACGACGACACCAACACCCCCGATACTCCTTCAAAAGATACTCCTTCAAAATCCAAAGCCGAGCCAAAAGAAAAGCCAACTCGAGCACCTCGCCGCCCGAGAGAAAAGTCAAACGCTACTGCCGCCTCTCGCAAGAAACCCAAGCTGGAGCAACCAGAAGAAGCCACACCCGCGGCGCCAGCACCTGCGACGGCAAACCCTCGGAGTCCTCCCCAATCACAACCAACACAGCAATCGCAACCCCAACCTCCACCCCAACCTCAATCTCAATCTCAACCCGTCCTGACACCTCCGCAACCTGCTCCTGTTGCTCCGGCGCCATCTTATACAAGCCCTCATCCTGCACCAGCCTCGGCGCCGAACTACGCCTTGTCACAGCCATATCCACAACCATCGCAGCCTCCACCCCAGGCCACTCAACCTGCCCCGCATCGCACCAGTGGTCAAAACTTCGACCCAATTCGATCGGCCTTTGATAACCCATCTCCAGCTCCAGCCTATAGTCCGACCCCTGCCAAGTCGCCACAGCCTAATTATCGTGCCAGCGCGTCACCCGCGATCTCCAGCATTATTGACCCACCGACCCAAAATGCCCGCATATACACTCCACTGCCGCGCTCATCTTCGGCCCATGTTTCTGCGGTGTCCTCTCCAGTACCAACGCCGACATACCCATCATTAGGACCGTCGGCGCTACCCGCGTCATCACCGTCGCATGGAACGGTCCATGTACCACCGGCCCTGCAATCTTCGAGCCACTATAGCACTCCGTATCCGCCATCAGATCAACGCCCTTACCATTCACAGCCGCCTGCGTTAGAGTTGTCACCACCGGTTTTGCCGCAACAGCAGCAGAAACCACCAATGCAACCCCAGGTCCAGGCCCAACCACAGACCCAGCCTCGGCAACCGCAAACCCCAGCGCAAAAGTCTACGCCGCAACGGCCCACTCAACAAAATGACGCAATGGAGATCGACTCCAAGCCGCCAAAAGAGCAGCCAGTGTCAAGTGCAAAGAAAGAAAAGGGTGCTGCGACGGCCCCCTCATCGAAGGCGCCATCCCCCAAGCCGGCGCGCGCAGCCAAGGAAACTCCACAGCTCCCTCAAGGCTCAGGCTTAATTACCAATGCGCTGTTTGGCATGGGAGGCGACGATTCCTCCAAATCACCCGATTCGCGTTCGACGCCCAACATAGTGGTGCACATCCCGCTGTCAAAAGGCAACCAGATCATAAATTTCGCGCAGCTGGCAGAGGAACAGTACGGCTTTGCGGCCTTGCATCCTCGCTTAGCGGCTCACAAAGATCGCCTCGCCCGTGTAGCTGCCGCTGGCGCTGCATTGGAGCGAAATGAAAAGGGACTGACTGAAAGTGCGGATGAGGATCTCAGCCTTGAAGCAGACCGCGACAGCGATGTGGATGGAGATGTCACCATGAGTGGTGCGGGAACTGGCACTAATGGTGTGACTTCGGACGCTGGGGACGGAAAGAAGAAAAGACGCAAGAAGGTTGAGGAGTACGATCGGGATGATCCATTTGTCGACGACACGGAGATGGCATGGCAGGAACAAGCTGCGGCCAGTAAAGATGGATTCTTTGTGTATAGTGGCCCGCTGGTGCCGGAGGGGGAGAAGGTCCAGGTGGAACGGTTAGTCTCTTTCTTGTCCAAGAAACAGAAGGCGAGTACCTTGCTAATAAATCTCACAGTGCGGATGGAACCATTAAGCGTGGTCGAGGTCGTGGCCGCGGGGCGGGTCGTGGTAGAGCATTGGCCTCTCACCCTCACGTCGCTATTGCTGCCGCTGTGCCTATTTCCCAGGATACCGGTCTGCCTCTTCGTGGACCCGGTTCGAGAGGAGGAACCTCTCGCAGGCCACGAGGGGCCAAGAAGGCCGAGCAGGGCGATAAAGGCACTCCTGATCGCAATGGCATTACTGCGTCTGCGGCTCACGAAGGTCGCGGTGGCCGTGCAGGAGGTGTTGCGGGATCCGGCCGTGGAGGAAGTTCTGCCAGCACTCGTGGTGGTAAATCCAGCTCGATGATGAGCATGGTGGATATGGCATCCTCGCCTTTGTCCAATTCCACTCCCAATATCACTCCTGTCCAGGGCCCGAGTCCTTTGGCTGGGCCGGAGTTGGTTATGAAATAGAGATGATGTTTGAGTTGCGTGTGTTTCTCTACTTGCAATTTTCGGGTGTTCATGGACACGGTTCTACTGGTCTGGTGTCTGAAGGTTCTGGCGTCCGTGATGTGAAGTATCATGTTTATTATATTCCTTTTGGGGTGCTATGCATTAGCATCTAGTTATCTGCTCGGTATTTTCGTCGAGCCTTTGCTCTGTATCTATATTTGGTTATGTTGTCATACATCCTGCAGCTCGGTCAGACTTTTGAGTTTCTCAAGCCAGCTTTTATAGCTATAAATCAACGTCTTTGCATTTTTGCTCAAATGGTGTCAATGATGATGATTCATACTAATCTAAACCCACGATACTTATGGTGAATCATTGAGATCTATATATTACGTTGAAGCAGAAGTGTTGATTGGAAATATAATTTGTAGCATCATCAAGAACTTGCACTCATGTACGCCGTATCATGCAGGAGCATATCTGAGCAGGAAAAGTCAGAAAGAGATAAAGAAATATGAATAAGCCAAGGTCGTCGTTGTCGTTGTCGTGGTTGGCAAGAATCAAGTCATTGACAGAAGATAAGACAAGAAAAGGAAAATGATGGAAGTGTCCACAGGTCACTGCAAGAAGACAAAGAGAAAGGACCCCATAGATGACAGTAGGGAGGGAAAGAGGAGGGTGGATGAAGCGGAATTCGGGGGAGGAGGTATCTGTACTCAACCCTGGTCATTCTTTTTTTCTTGTCCATACACGCCAGGGAAGGAAACGGGCAGATCGTCAAGTCGGACAAGAGCCACACGAAAATAGCAACGGAGATCTTATAATGAAACGTTAAAGAAGCAGATTCGAAGATATAATCTGAGAAAGCTCCGATGAACGAGCTCAAAGGCGCAACTATCATGTGCGTATGCAGACACTTTGAGGGGAACCATAATTACTCCGAGGTTAGATCAACATCCATATCGTGCGATTCAAGCATTGGCTCCCGGAATATGACCGGAATAACCACGCCAGTTCCCACTAGATGCGGGGGCAGGTGGAGGGGGCCCGGTTGGGGGAGCAGGACGCAATGGCAATGTCCCGGGTATCAGGCTGGCTTGGGGCTTATTGTTGTTTGTGCTCATAGAGCGTGGGCTCATGAAGGGCCGAGAAGGGGCATCAACAGCAGACACCGGGTCGCCGATATGACGGGTCGGGCGCCGGCTGGAGCGATCGTCGTCCATTCTGGTTTCCAGGGACAGGTGTTCCAGAGATGGGGGCGGTGGAGAACGCGTAGAGCGCGAAGAAGAATAATGGTTGTTCTGCTGGCTGCCACCATAATAACGATTGGCAGATGCATCACTGGCGATGTTGAGGGGGATGTCACCCGACGTGGGTGTCTGGTGGTAGGGAGACTGTTGAGGTTGAGGTGGACGAGCTGATTTGCTTATGGGGGCGGGCTTGGGGGGAGTTGGCAGAGCAGACGTAGGTGCCGGCACTGCAGCAGGTGGGGTGCTTGTTGTGGATGGAGTGCCCTCTTTGAGTGACTTGGGCGCTGGTGGTGCCAGATACGATTTACGATTGTGTCTTTCCATCATGCTGATAGCCCACTCTTGCAGATCAACAGGTGTGCGCTTAGCCGCTTGTAAGAAAGCGTCCTTGTCCTATACGCAGTGTTAGTCATTCACGATAAGCAAACAAAGGCGCTAGGTAGATAGCACGCACGTAGAGCTCTCGGGGAGTTGGCCGTTCCTCGGATTTCTTCATCAAACACTTCCCGACAAAGTCGTGCAGAATGGGTGGGAAGGCATCACTCTTGGGCAATTTGGGAGCGGATTCATGAACAATCTGCTGAAGCAGGTCGAGAATACCCATCGGCCCTGTACTGGCGCGATTTCCTGCGGCCGGGTCGGAGTGATCGAATGGGAACTTTCCTACAGCCAACTCCATGACCGTCAGACCCACACTCCACACATCGGACCGAACGGTGTAAGCGCCTCCCTGAATTCGTTCCGGAGCCATGTACGTTGACGTTCCGACGAAAGTATCGGCAATCGAATTAACTGTCTCGGTGGCGACACCAAAGTCACAAAGCTTAATGTTTCCGCGGGAGTTGACCAGGACGTTGGATGGTTTGATGTCTCGGTGCATGATGCGGTGCACCTCGTACAGGTAGACAAGACCAGCCAGCACAGACTCAGTGATCTTACCCAGCACATCTACTCGAACGGGACCAAAGTCTTTTGACACACGATCGAGGGACCTAATATCCATTATCAGCCAGTTGCCCCTCATTCGCTTCGATTTCGGCAACTTTACCCGCAATCCATGTATTCCATGCACAGGACAATATCTCTTGCCTCGTTCTGGAACGCGCCATAAAAGGTCACAATATTGGGGCAGTTGCAGTCATGTCCGACTCGGAGTTCTCGTAGAATCTGCTTCCGCACATTTTCTTTGGCCTCAACTCGGATAATCTGGTGGGATGACAGTCAGCCTCAAGAGCCTACGCTGGAACACGTCAAATCTCCCTTTGCCTTACCTTTCGAGCCATCACAACCTTGGTCGATGCATGCATCACTTTTGAGACCGTGCCTCCATTTCCAGCGCCCAGCTCTTTCAAAGTCACCAGGTCCTCGCTGCGGAGATCTAGTCGGAACTCCAGTCCGATTTCTAGAGTATCTGTGCGGTTGCTTTCGCTATTTCCAATCGCTCCAGGAACCTGGGCATCCCCGTCAGAGGCGTTCGCGGCGGGTTTCGGGGCTGCATTGAGCGCAAGACCTTTGACATTCTTGCGTTTCATCGTCCGGGGTTTGAACTGGTCCGCCATGGCGCCGGTGGGGAGAGAGAAGATCTCTACACAGCGTCGGAGGTCCGGAAGGAAAGAATCAAGAGACGCAAAGAAGGACGTAAAAACAGACGAAAAAAAAGTGATCGGGGAACGATAGCGCTAGGCCAACGACCACTGTAGTGGGAGGGAGGTTAGGTTTGGAGTCGCGAGCTAGCGGCGGGGAACCCGATATCACTGATGGTCTTGGCAGCGCTGATTGGGCCTCGCGGGCGCATCGATTGGACCAACAATACTGGTAGGATGATCAGTCGGCGCCAAACGGGGGTTTGAAGCAGTGATGCTATTCAGGGGAAATTCTGAACAACGTAGGTCAATGGGTTCAGGCGTTCTACTTTCGCTGAAACACATGTTCCTGGTTGCTCCACCCTCCCTTACCCCATAGGATCAGGCTTTTAGGGGGAAAATCTCTCTAGGAGATCCATGAATGCCCAAGTACGGAGTAATTCTAATAGACATATGGGGCAAATTGCATGGGGTCTGAAAATATACTTGTACAGCAGTGGTAGATGACATTACTGAATTTGGCATAATCTCGGTACTAATCATTTATACAGAAATCCAAATTCAAAATATTGATTCCATTCAATGGTCATGCCTCACGTGATCAAACTCACCAGCCACACGAGTCCCCCTTTGGGTGCACAAGCCACACGCACTCCTTCCAACCAATCACCGCCACACTCCGTCCTCTCCCTCGTAGTCTTCCTTTCTCTCCAGCTCTAGCTTTTGTCTTTTCCAATTTCTCTCACCCACAACTCTCCTTCTCTATCATCTTCGCGAGTCGGGTGCTGGAGCTAACTATTCCGAGTCGCAATCTTCATCTTTTCCAGCTCTCTTTCAATTCCGCAGTGAAGAGACATCTCTTCGAACAGCCACCATGAGTCTGCGGGACCTGGTTGAAGGCGAGGCTCTGGATGATGATGAGAACGACGGGGACGTGGCCGAGAACTCTGATGGAGAAATTCAGGAGCGAACAGGTCGCGCGAATCATTACGACGACTCGAGTGAAGAGGACGAAGACGAAGATGACGATGAGGATGCCGCTCGCGCCGTGAGTGTGAATTTGAATGCCAAAGAGACTTGCGCGCTGACATGCAATTCCAATATAGGTCCGCGAGGGGTTTATCGATGATGAGGATGAAGAGATCGAGGAGCGCGCCAAACGCCGCCGCGAGAAAAAACGATCTCGTCCTCGTGAAGAGCACCTCGACGAAGAGGATTTAGAGTTGATCGGTGAACATGTCCCTGGACTCAGTCGTGGATCTGCGTCAGAGGTATGTGATCTCCCATAATGACTGTGATGAAGCACGAACTTGGGCGACAATAATCAGATGGCGGGGAGTTTTTGCTAACACCGTGACCTTTCTCTAAATACAGTCCAAATTCAAGCGTCTGAAGCGAGGCAAGGATCGCGACTCCCGACAACAGGCCCAAGGCATCGATGATATTTTCAACTCAGACGAAGATGAAGAGGCTGCTCAATACACTCGCACCGGCCACCGCGGCGGCCAGGATGAATTCGACGACTTCATCGAAGAAGACACCTTTTCCGACGAAGAGGGACAACGGGAGCGGGATGATCTCGAGGTTGCACCCCCAATCCGGGCTTCTATGCCTGGTCTTGGGGCCACCGAAGCGGCGGGTCTGGATGAAAATGCCCTCGAAGATATGCGCGCAGCGTTCGGTGATGGTACCGAATATAGGTTTGCCCTGGATATTGAAGAACAGGAAGATGAAGAGAAGGAGGTCGAAGAAAGACACTTGGATCTCAAGGATGTCTTCGAGCCCTCGGAGCTCGCGGAGCGTATGTTAACGGAGGATGACAACGAAATTCGTCTGCTCGATGAGCCTGAGCGCCACCAGGTCGCTCGGAAGCCATACAAACACGTCGTCTTGACGGAGGATCAGTTCCGAGAGGAGGCGGTCTGGATTTCGAATCTCATGCTGCTCAAGAAACGCATCGAACCGGAGCTGCGTGAGCCATTCCAGCGCTCTGTAGCCAAGATGCTCGAATTCCTGATTACAGATGACTGGGAGGTTCCTTTCATCTTCCAACATCGAAAGGATTACATGATTCACGCCGTCAAAGAACCAATCAATGGCACCGACTCTGCCGATGATTCTGCACAGTATAGCATTCGTGCCGAGAAACTCCTAAATATGACGGATCTCTGGGATATCTTCGATTACGACCTCAAATTTCGTGCCCTGGTCGACAAGCGCAATACTATTCAGAAAGCTTATGACGGCATTCAAAGTCTGTTCAATATCGAAGATGCCAATGTGGAAGATCTTTTGGCTGCTGCCGCGACCATGGAGGAGCTTCAAGATGTGCAGGACTATATTCATTTCCAATATGCTTCTCAGCTACGTGATACGGCTGCAGTGAACGGCGAAGTCAACGGTGAGACACAACGGCGCAAGGCGACCAACAAATCTTTCTTTGAGCGGGTGCGAAACGGAAAGGCCTACAACCTGGTACGAGCATTTGGTATCACCGCCGATGCTTTTGCACAAAACGCCTCGAAAGAAGGTCGTCGGCAGTACACGGAGGACCCTGGCGAGCTTCCAGAAGAATTGGCAGATCAATTTGTTGACTCCGACTTTTCCAACTCATCACAGGTTCTCAAAGCTGCGAAGTCCATGTTCACTGAAGAGCTTGTGCTAAGTCCTAAGATGCGCAAGGTCATTCGTCAAGCATACTACATGAATGGAGTTGTCGATTGTTTCCGAACTGAGAAGGGTTTGCGCCGAATCGACGAACAGCACCCATACTACGAATTCAAGTATCTCCGGAACCAGCAGCTTAGTGACATTGCTCGTCGCCCGGAGATGTTCTTACGCATGCTGAAAGCCGAGGAGGAAGGGCTGGTTGACGTTCGGGTACGCTTCGAGAACTTTGATCAGTTCCGTTCACGTCTCTACGCCGATATTGAATCTGACAATTACTCCGAAATCGCCGATGCATGGAATCGTCTTCGTCGTGAAGTTCTAGATATGGCACTTGGTAAGCTGGAGCGTGTCATCAACCGCAGCGTGAAAGAGAACATTCGACAGGAATGCGAGAATCATGTGGCCAAGGAGTGCCGTGAAATGTTTTCGCAGCGACTGGACCAGGCGCCTTGCAAACCCAAGGGGATGATTCTGGGCACAGTGCCCCGGGTCATTGCTCTGTCTACTGGAACTGGTGTTGTGGGCCGAGATCCCATTCACTGGGCCTATATTGAAGAAGATGGTCGTGTGCTAGAAAACGGAAAATTCCAGGACCTGTCATGCGGAGATTCATCCCGAGGTTTTGAAGACGGTGCCCACGTTGCTGCTTTCATGAATTTGATCAAGCGACGCAAACCAGATGTCCTCGGAGTCTCCGGTATGACGCCAGAGTCTCGTCGTCTCTACAAACTTCTGAACGAACTCATCGAAGAAAAAGACATCCGCACACAAACCTACACCGATGATCATGACGAGGAGATCACTGACCGTCTTGAGGTTGTCATTGTCAATGATGAGGTTGCCCGACTCTACCACAACTCTCCTCGCGCCCGTCAAGACAATCCAGGCTTCGGACCACTTACTCACTATTGTGTGGCTTTGGGTCGATACTTGCAAAGTCCACTGAAAGAATACGCTTCTTTGGGTCGGGATATTGTTTCAATCCAGTTCAAGCCCGGCCAGCAATTGGTGTCACAGGAGCTGTTGCTTAAGCAACTCGAGACCGCCCTCGTCGACATGGTCAATCTTGTGGGTGTGGATCTGAACGAGGCTGTCCACGACTCACTGACGGCGAACCTTCTCCCGTATGTTTGTGGACTTGGTCCTCGCAAGGCAGCCCACCTGCTCAAGATTGTCAATTTGAACGGTGGAAATGTGGATAATCGTGTGGAGCTGCTGGGTGTCAACGCCCAGTACCCAGCTATGGGTGTTAAAGTGTGGAACAACTGCGCCAGTTTCGTTTACATTGACTACGAGAACGCAGATGCAGATGCAGATCCACTAGATAACACCCGAGTGCACCCTGAAGATTACGATATTGCCCGCAAGATGGCTGCTGATGCATTGGAGTTGGATGAAGAAGACATCAAGGCGGAGACCGATGAGAATGGCTCTGGGGCAATTGTTCGCAAGCTTTTCCGGGACGAGCAGCAGGATCGTGTCAACGACCTGATTCTTGAGGAGTATGCTGAGCAGCTGGAGAAGAACCTCAACCAACGCAAGCGTGCCACTTTGGAAACCATTCGTGCAGAGTTACAGCAACCCTATGAGGAACTGCGCAAGCACTTCGTCTTCCTGAGCACCGAGGACATTTTCACTATGTTCACGGGTGAGACGCCCGAATCTTTGAAGGTCGGCATGGTGGTACCTATTGCCATCAAGCGGGTGTTTGAGGATCATATTGATGCCCGGTTGGACTGTGGGGTCGATGCGCTGGTCGCAGAGACCGAATTGGGGGTGCCCTACGATCTGTCTGTGCGCAATGTCTACCAACAACACCAGACCGTGCCTGCCAAGATTCTGTACCTAAACAAGAAGGGCTTTACCTGCAATGTGTCTCTGCGGGAGGATCAGGTCAGTCACCCAATCCGCCGAAACCCAGACCTTGGCTTCGGCGACTGGGATGAGGTGCAAGAACAGAAGGATCGAGAGTCCCAGCAGGAGAGTACACAGAGTAGCGGACAGGCCATGCGTGTCATCAAACACCCGCTCTTCCGACCATTCAACTCTACACAGGCTGAGGAATACCTGGGCTCCCGGAGTCGTGGTGAAGTGGTCATTCGCCCCTCATCCCGAGGACCCGATCACCTGGCAGTCACCTGGAAGGTGGCGCAGGGCGTCTATCAACATATCGATGTCCTTGAGCTGGACAAAGAGAACGAGTTTTCTGTTGGTCGCGTTCTCAAGGTTGGGGGCAAGTACACCTACAGCGATCTGGATGATTTGATTGTCAACCACGTCAAGGCGATGGCCAAGAAGGTCGAGGA